GACTGAAGAGGATATCAGAAAATAGAAAGATATCTCTTGTTCTTGGATAGGAAGAACCAATATAGTGAAAATGGCCATACTTCCAAAATTGTTATACAGATTCAATCCAATCCCAGAAGAGACCTAGAATAGCAAAGGCAATTCTGGGCAACAAATGCAAAGCAGGAGGTATCACAATCCCTGGCTTTAAATAATACTACAAAGCTACAGTGATAAAAACAGGATGGTACTGGCAAAAGAACAGACCTGAGGATCACTGGAACAGACTAGAGGATGCAGAAACAACTCCAGGCACGCTCAACCACCTTATATTTGACAAAGGAGCCAAACACTTTCACTGGAAGAAAGTTAGCCTCTTTAATAAATGGTGCTTGAAAAACTGGCTTTCCACATGCCAAAGATTGAAACTAGACCCCTATCTTTCACCACACACTAACCTATAATCAAAATGGATCAGGGGCCGGGGATTTAGCTCAGTGGTTTCGCCACCTGCTGCGCAAGCACAAGGACCCAAGTTCGATCCCTGGTACCAAAAAAAAAAAAAATGGATCAAAGATCTAAATATTAAAACAGAAACACTACATCTGCTGGAAAAGAGAATAGGTAGAATGCTTGAGAACATAGGAGTAGGCAAAGACTTCATGAACAAAAACCAGACTGCATGGGAAATACTACAAAGAATTAACAACTGGGACCTCATTTTATTAAAAAGCTTTTGGGCTGGGTGTGGTGTCACATGCCTGTAATCCCAGCACTTGGGAGGCTGAGGCAGGAGGATCACTTAGAGTTTGAGGCCAGCCTGAACTACACAGGGAGACGTGCCTCAAAAAAACCAAAAAGCTTTTGCACAATAAGAGAAACCACCAACAGAGTGAAAAGACAACCCACATAATGGGAACAAATGTTTACCAGCTGTTCAGATAAAGGACTATTATCTAGAATATATAAAGAACTCAAAAGAAAAATCAGACCACCCAATTTTAAAGACCCAATGCAAAAATGGGCATCTGAAATAAAAAGACACTTCCCAGATAAAGAATTAGAAACAGCTATCGAGAAATCAACCAGTAACAAATGCTGGAGGGCTGTGGGGAAAAAGGGACCCTTCTCCACTCTCTGTGGGAGTGTAGACTGCTGCAACCACTGTGAAAATCAGTGTGGAGATTCCTCTAAAAACTAAAACTAGGTCCCATTTGACCCAGCTATACCTCTTTCTGGTATCTTCCAAAATGAATTAAAAGCATCATATCACAGCAATAGATGCACACCCATGTTTATAGCAGCACAGTTTGTAATAGCTACATTTTGGAAACAGCCCAGATGCCCATCAACTGACGAGTGGATAAAGATGTGAGGGTCAGGGATTTAGCTTAGTGGTGCCACCACCTGCCTGGGAAGCGCAAGGTCCTGAGTTCGATCCCTGGTACAAAAAAAATACAATGGAGTACTACTCTGCCATAAAGAAGGATGAGCTTCAGACATTTCTAGCTAAATGGATGGACCTTGAGACCATACTCTTAAGTGAAATAAATCAGACACACATGTTTAAATACCACATTGTTTTTCCGGTGTGAGAAACTGAATGTGGAAATAAGGACTGAGATGTATGGTGGACGTTGGGAAATGGGAAGAAAGTGTTCAAATGGGAAGGAGAACAGGGAGGAGGGAGGGAGAAAGGAAGGGAGGGACAAGAGAAAAAGTGAAAATAGAAGGAAAAATGGAAACAAAGCTTCTGTACATTGGGAAGGGAGGGGGCTTGAGGGGGGAAAGGGATAAAATAAAACTTACTAATTAAAACAAAAAGACCATGGGCCAGGGATTTAGCTCAGTGGTTCTGCTGCCTGCCTTGAAAGCGCAAGGCCCCAAGTTTGAGCCCCAGTACCAAAAAAAAAAAGACCAGCCTGGACTACATACCAAGGCCCTGTCTCAAAACTAAATAAACGGCTCAGTGGTGCTACCGCCTGCCTTGCAAGCGCAAGGTCCTGAGTTTGATCACTGGTAGCAAAAAAAAAACAAGAACAAAAAACTAAGCAAACAAACAAACATCCACTAGGAGTGTGTAGCTCAGTGGTAGAATGCTTGCCTAACATATACAAGGCCCTGGGTTTGATCCCCAGTATTACAAAAGAAAAAAGAAAAAAAAAGTGCATTTCTCTTTAGTAAAAATCTTTTTTTTAAGAAGAAAAACTTAATAGGTGTCATGGTACAGACCTGTAATCCCAGCATTTGGGAGGCTGAGGCAGGAGGATCACCACAAGTTGTAGGCCAGTCTGGGCTATGTAGTGAGTTCAGCGACAAGCTGGACTACAGAGTGGGACCCTGTCTCACCTCAAAAACAACAAAATAAGGAGAGTCAAGAGTCAGCAGGCCTGGGCTCCTGCCTGGCTCCTCAGTGGCGACTTGTGTCTGGGTTTCTGCCCCCTTGTCTGTCCTGTGAGGTGGGTGGGCGCTGTGCCACCCGTTCTTGTCAGCCATGCATGTGGCCAGAGCAGTCCCAGGTCCCCAGCCTTTGGTGTTTGCTTTCTCTTCTCAGGGTCCCCAGGATGTCCTTCTTGGGACATGGGGCAGGGTGAGCACCAGATTAAGGCCTGGGCATGGCTGCAGGGTCCATGGCCTCCCCCACACCCTGAAGCATCCCCACTTCCCACACAGGTCCTTATCAAGCTAGGAATGTGTCCCCAGGATGCTGAGTGAAGCCTGAGTCCAGAGCTGGGTGTGGTGGCACATCTGTCATCCCAGCACTTGGGAGGCTGAGGCAGGAGGATCTTTATAAATTCAAGGCCAGCTTGGGCTGCATAGTGACTTCAAGTCTAGCCTGAACTACATAGCCAGACTCTGTCTCAGAAAACAACACAAAAGCCTGGTTGGAACGGTGTGCTGAGGAAGGAATTGAGGAAGGGTGCGGTATGCTCCAAGAAACTGACCTGGCTGACAAGACTCATCTCAGCAGCTGGATTCCAGGCTTTGGGTGGTTCGGGCCTCCTCCCTGAAGAGCCCCCCTTATTTCTTGCAGTCCTCACTCTCTGAGGTGATTTCAGACTTTGGTTCTGCCCAGAATTTATTCACATTGGCTGGGCTGCTGGCTTAATGTCAGAGGCAAACCAGATGTGGGCCGCTTGTGACTCGTGACCAAATTCTGCTAAGTCAAAGATGACCCCTGCTGAATCCTGGCCACACCCTGCACTGATCCTGGGGCCTTGGCTGGTGTCTCGCTCTCTCCAGACCTCAGTTTCTTCCATGTGAATCAGGAGGTGCAGCACCTACTTTGCGAGACAGCAGAAAGCTGAAACAAGTGCTAATCCTAGCACTAGAGGCTGAGGGAGGAGGATTTCAAGTTTGAGCCCAGCTTGGGCTACATGAAGACCCTGCCTCAAAATACAAACCCCATAGCTGCTTCCTGTCTCACCTCCAGCTATCCCGCAAAGCAACCCAGGTGGCTTCCAACCCTTCTCCTCTTGGCTCATAGCTACTTGCCATGTTTCAGCCTTCCAGACAGCGACAGTGGCAAACCATGTCCCGGTGCTGGCTCAGTGACACAGGCTTTGCAGGTCTCTTACCCGCCCGAATGCAGATTTTCCTCTCTGGCTCCAGGAAGGAAGGGCTGGTGGTCCCCAGTGCGGCCTCCTCTGCTCCTGCCCACCTCCTTTCTGTACCCACTTCAGGCTGCCTACTGCAACCTCACAGGGGCAAAAACAAGACCGAACTCACCTGGGCTGGAGGACACAGTCCTGTCCCTTTCTGGTCCCGGAGAGCAGTGCACTCGACCTCCTCACACAATGCCCTCCACCCTTGGCTCTTGCGTGGCCACCCTGGGCTTTGCCCCAGCTGTCCCCCCTCCAGACAGCTGTTCCCCAGATGTGCATTGCTCACTCTCCAGGTCCCGTCCCGTCACCCTCTGTAGAATTGTGTTTCCAGGGTTACCCACACCCCAAGACCCCCCTCCCTGCGGCCTGCCCAGCTGCCAAGTGACCGGCGTGCAGGGGGCAGCACAGGGCTGGGCCAGAACCCAGCTCAGGGCAGCTTCGCCAGCAGGGCTCGAACCCCACTGCTCCAAGCTCCAGGCTCGGTGGGAGACGGAAAGCCTTGGTCCCCATTTCCTGATCCGAAGGAAAGGTGACAACGCTGCCTCCAGGGCTGCAGAGGGTGAGTGGCTCTTGTCACATCTGGGGGCCCAGTGATTCCCGTGCCAACTCCTGGGGCAGTGACTTGGCTTTGACAAGGGCGCTATTGTCCCCAGCATGGTCCTGGCTCTCAGAGCCGAAAAGCACATCCATTCCTGTCCTGCCTGCAGCCAGATCGGGCCCTGGCCACCACAGCCCTTAGGTTGTGTGAGAAGCTGCCACAATCACCCAAAGCCTGAACTCAGCTGGCGACGGGGCCATCCGCTGAGCCGTCCTAACACTCAGAAGCTGTTCAGTCTGCTTCCAAATGAAGTCAGAAGCCTTTGTCCCTTGAGACCTTTCTATTTCTTTTCTGTGGTACTGACCCCAGGGCCTCTGCACTGAGACACATCACCAGCACTTTTCTGTACTTTTTTTTTTTTTTCTGGTACCGGGGATTGAACTCAGGTCCTTGTGCCTATGAGGGAGGCGGTGGAAGGACTGAGCTAAATCCCTGGCCCACTTTTCTGTACTTTTGAGACAGGCTGAGTTGCTAAGTTGCCCAGGCTGAGCTGGAACTTGGGGTCCTCCTGCCTCAGCCTCCAAGTGCTAAGATCACAGGCCTGTGCCATTACGGCTGACCCCTGAGGGATTCCGTGGGTGATAAGCACACAGGCAGGACAACGGCACTGCAACTGCGTGTGGGCTCCCTGGGTGGGGGCGCTTTGGCTCCTGGTACCCCCAGGAGGTGGCAGGACCTGCTCTCCGCAGAGTCAAAGGTTTCACCTGGCAGTCAGGCACCATTTGGTGGCTCATATGCGAGAAGGGCCACTGAGACCTGCTTGTCACAGTGGGCTCCTATCCCGTCCAGGTGACCAGAGAGACACAGACACACAGGGCTGGGGACAGTCTTTATGGGAGCACCAGGATCAGGTGCCCGTCTCCAGAGCCACCACCTCCACCCAGGGGCCGAAGCCTGCGTCCTTATGGATCAGCACCAGGACAGGGCCGGGCTCTGGCTCCTTGGGCACCGCCATGCACCTCTCCTGGCCCTTGGAAACGGCTACCTGTGTGATGTTGCCGGCCGGGGACAAGGCCCTTGGGCCACCTGAGGCCGGCAGGCCCGGCTCAGGCTGCAGGAGCCCGGTAGTGGGTGCCAAGGACACCCCGGGCCGGTGACTGAGCTGGTGGTGCCTGAGGCTCTGCGCGAGGCTGTAGCCCATGCCGCAGGTGGGGCAGCGGTGGGGCTTGTCCTCAAGGTGCGACTTGAGGTGATGCCGAGTTTGGTGGCCAGAGTGTAGGCATGCTCGCACTGGGGGCACAGGAAGGGCCTCTCCCCCGAGTGCAGGCGCTCGTGGGCCCGCAGGGTGTGCGGGTCGCGCAAGGCCTTCCCACACATGGGGCACAGGTGGGCCTCGCCGGTGTGCGCGCTGAGGTGGCGCTGTAGCTCCAGCCGCTGCGCGAAGGCCTGGGCGCAGTTCAGGCAGCGGTGCAGGCGCTCCCCGGTGTGCAGCCACAGATGCCCGCGCAGGTCGCCCCGCTGGCGGAACGCCCGGCCGCAGTGCAGGCACAGGAAGTGCTCCTCCCCCGTGTGCAGCCACATGTGGGTCCGCAGGGAGCCCTGGGTGGCCAGGGGCTGGCCGCACATGGGGCACGGGCATGGGGCTGGGGTAGTGGGCACCTGGTGGGTCTTGCAATGCAATCGCAGGGAGGGCCAGTGGGCGAAGGCCTTGCCACACTGGTCACACACGAAGGGCCGGGCGCCCGAGTGGACCATCTGATGCTCTTGGGGGTTGCGCCGCGTGCCGTAGGCCTTGCTGCACTGCGGGCAGGGGAAGGGCCGAACCCCTCGGTGGCCCAACAAGTGGGCTTTGAAGCTCTCCCCGGAGCTGTAGCTCTTCCCACACTCAGTGCACAGGAAGGGCTTGTGGCCCATGTGCACAAACGTGTACTATTCAGGTGGCACGCCTGCAGGAAAGCCTTGCCACACTCCCTGCAGCGGTACCGGCGCCCCCGCTTCGGGCGGCTTGCTGGTGACCCTGGGGGTCCCTATATGAGACCAGGGGAGCCAGGGCCCTGGGCCCCAGGCTCTGAGGGCTTTGCTCGGGGTGGGGACTGGTCACCTGACACAGGACATTTCTCAGCCAGGCAGGTGGGCAGCTGGGAGCCCTCTGACAAACTGGCGTCACAGCTCTCTGGGTCCTGAGGTTCTGGGGGCATCTGTGCCCAGGGTGAGCCCTCCTCATTCACCCGGCCACCTGGAAGCAGTGGGCCAGGGAGTCGGCTCTCCAGGGAAGGCTGATCCTTTGGTTGGGACATAGGTCCAAGGCGCAGCATACTTTCTACCTGGAGGCCGGGGGGTGGGGGGGGTGACAGACGGCCAGGATCTGAGGGACAACAGGCAGGGTGTGGGGTCACCCAAGCGGAGCAGCAGGTGACCTTCCGGGGGCTTACAGGCCTGTGCTTTCCCACCCAACCCCTGCCCCTCAGTGTGAGCACTGACACTGGTCTCCCCTTTCCCTTCCTGTCCGCTCTCAGAGCCTCTGCAGAAGCCCCCCACCCGCTAATCCCCAGCAAGGAAGGGTCCCCTGGGACTCCATTAAGGCCTCACTTCTCCACCCAAGCTCGCTTGTAAAATAGAGGAGCCCCTGCCCAAAAGGAGAGAGGAAACCTAAGAAATTGGAAACTGTACACAGCTTGCTTTCTTCATCTTATGAACTTATTACTCTAAGAAACTCTTAGAAGATAAATTACAAATATCCTTCCTGCTCCTTCTAAAGGTAAGTGCCTTCCTTCGCCAATGTCTCCGTCTCCATTCAATGACGAGTTAGTCTAAGATGCTTTATACCACATGCCTGAAAATTCTAGCCTTACAGTGCCCACCAATTCAAAAGTTTGGTTTGTTGTGTTTTTTTTGGTATTGGGGATCAAACTCGGAACCTTATGCTCTTGAGGCAGGTGGCAGAACCACTGAGCTAAATCCCCAGCCCATAAAAGGTTTTTTTTTTTTTTGGCACTGGGAATTGAATTGAACTCAGGATCTTGTGCTTGCCAGGCAAGCATGGCACCACTGAAAAACCTTGGGTTTTTTTTTTGAGACAAGGTCTCACTATGTAGTTCAGGCTGGCCTCAAACTTGAAGTGATCCTCCTGCCTCAGCTTTCTGAGTGCTGGGATTATAAGTGTGCACCCAATCGTAAAGTATGATGTCATGGTCCTGATCCAATTTTAATCAAGCCCTGTTTTCCCATCCCACACTGAAAGGTCCACTTTAAATCAGATTTTTAGTTATTTTGCATTGCTGGGAAGGAACCTGGGCCCTCATGCATGCTATCCAAGTACTCTATCACTGGCAACAACCCCAGCCCCAGGCATGTTCTCAAAGGCAACTAAGATTCTCATATTTTCTTGCAGCACTGAGCCATAAACTCTGCTTTGTCTCAGCACAGGCTGCTCAGGTAATACCCGGGGAGCAGGTGTTCATTTGGAACATACTTGTGGAACCCTCTGCCGCAGCCTTCCTGGGTGAGGTCACTTCCTGTTGTACAGCAGATTTCACTTCTGCCACTACCACCATAGCCTTCTCTTCCTCCAGCCTGGCAGCACGACCCGGTATACCTGCAGGTGGAGCCTCTCGTTGATTTGAACTGGAGCCACATTTCCCTCACTCTCCAGCCTGCCTCGCTGTACCAAGCTGCAAAGCAGAGCAGAGTGGGAGTTCAGCAGATCCACTTCAAGGGGCACCCACAAGAACCCCAGCTCCTGGGAAGCTGAACTCCTAAAGGATGCCGTGCCTTCAGAACATCTATGGGAAAAGATCCCTGGCTAGGGAATCACAGCAACTTCAGGTTCCATTCAAGGCTCTACAGAAAGCCACACGGGACATTCTTGGTATACCTTGTCCTATAACTTAACTGGTCCAGCCTGAGCTCTGCTCAAAGGCAAACATGGTGTCCCATGGGCCAAGAGACAGGTCCTAAAATAAATGAATAAAAGTTTGAGGGGGCAGGTAGGAAGAAGAAGAAATAACTGGTTGAAACTTCACCTGGCACAAATTTTATTTTATTTTTTTGAGACAGGCTCTTGCTATGCAGTTCAGCTGACCTTGAACTCACTATGTTGCCCAGGGTAGCCTCAAACTTGCCAGGTGATCCTCCTGCCTCAGCCTCATTAAGGCTGGCATTATGCATTTGAGGCCACCCTGAACTGCATAGCGAGACCCCATCTCAAAAACAAAACACACACACACACAAAATGACAGTGCTGACTGACTCTTCATTCACTGTCAACCAAAAAGAGTGGGGGAAAAAAAAGAGCGTCCCCTTCCCCTTACCTCCTTCCCAATAGTGTGGAAAAACAGTGCTTACTCTGTTAAAAGCTTTACCTGCATCATTTCTTCTGGTTCTCCAAATAACCCAGAGACAGCCTTTGCTTTCTTTTACAGATAAGTTAAACAAGGCATGTAATTTAGCTAGCCAAGTGGCAAGGCTGGGATCTGACCCCGTGCCTTCTGAATTGCAATAACCCTAGCTCTTGACCTTTGTCACTGCTGACACTATACCAATCCAGCTTTTAACGTTTTGGACCTCCATCCCTTACCCACTGCAGCTGTGGGGAAGGCAGTCCCACGGGGAAGGGACAAACCTAGCTCATCGCTTGGAATACCCTTCTTCCAGCGAACTGGAGAGCTGTCCAGAAATGTCGGAATCTCCCCCCAAGTTTCAATCACAGAAGGGAGATGCCCGTCCCCTCAATACCTCCTCCAGCCGTGGTTTCACTCCCTCGCCCTTCTTCCCCGAGGCAGAGCTCTCTTGCAGCGGCCCCCAGTGCAGTCCGGGCTGCAGGGGCTCCCCGACACACCAGACCCCCAAGCGCTGTGTTCTCGCGAATGAGGGGCCCAGGGCTAAGCCCCGGGGGAGGCTGCTTAGCGCAAGGACAGCTCGGCTCGCCCCCGGCGAGTAGTCTCTGGGAACGGGAACACAGCCTTCTCTCGAAGGGCTCCATTCTGGGTCCGGGTGCAGGCGCGGCTCGGGGGCCTGCCGGGAGATCGGAAGCAGTGAGGGGGTGGGGAAAGGTGAGGGAGGAACCGTAGGCTCGGCCAGGCCTTGGGGATACCCGAGGGCTCTACCCACTCCAAGGTGTGAAGCCGCTCGAGGGCGCTTTAACCCCTAGCGACTGGGAGGGCATTAGAGGAGGAGCCTAAGCTCGACAGGACAAGGGATGAGGGTAGAGAATTGACCAGAGGACGCTGGAACCGTCTAGGCCAGGGCTGAGGGTCGTCTACATCAGAGGGCACTCACTGAGCTCTAGGATCTTCCCAGCCAAGAGCGCCACCTCCATGCCGGGTCCGGAAACAACAACAACAACAACAACAAAAAAACCCCACCTCCCCTGAAGTGAGCGTCCTCTTTTCAGCTCCTCCCAGAAACTGTCATTGATTTCCAAATTTCCTCTCTGAAAAGAAGGCGAAGAGTTAAACCACATCGGTATTCAGGACTGGGAGTTTGAGAGTACTTGTGAGGCCAAACTCTGTTCGGAAACAACAGGAATCTAGGCGTTCAAAGCCCACCAGGGATTCGAGTATCAAAGAAAGCGGAACGAAGTAGTTCCACCCACTACATTGAAGCGTGATGAGTCGGACAATTATGCTATCCCTCTCTCCTACCGGCACTTTGGCGGGAAAGTGCAGGAAGTGGGCGTGGCTCCTGGAAAGGCCAAGTTTGGACTGGCAGCGAGCCGGAAGTAGGTTGGAGGTGTGGCGGAAGTGGTTGGGAAGTGAGGAGCCTGGAGGGGGCGGTTCCCGTTCCACTGCGGAGCCGGATGTTTGCAGAGCTTTGACAGGCGTGGCAGCGAGAGCAGCGCCCGAGCTCGGTGAGCTGCATGGCGCGGGGTCTCCCGGTGGGGTGGGGGAAGGGAAGGAACTGGTCTGGCTGAGCGAAAGGATGGGGTCCGGACGGGGAAGACCCCAGCGGATCCGAGGAGGGGGCGCGGGGGTGGAATCGGGCCTGAGGCCCTGGCCTTTGGCCGCTGGGGATCCTGTCCCACTTTGGCGCCTGCCCCAGAAGACAGCCCGTTGCGTTGACATCTTCCCGCCCTCCGCAGGGCAGAGGCCAGGCCACTGGCTGTCAGAAGCAAGCCCGTGGGAGGGAGAAGTTTCTCGGATGCGGTCTGGCAAAGCACTGAGGAGAGATCTGGGGGAGTGTAGCAGCCTGCCACTTACTAGACTGCGCTTTCTTAATTTGTGAAATGAAATAATTACACCCAATCCGGACTTTTAAAAAAACTACATTTTTGTAATTACGGGCCCACGACTGGAAGGCCGATTGCAATGCCAGAGAATACTATTTCGTGTTGTGTTCTGCACAAAGGAAAATTAGGGAGAGGCTGTATTTGCCCTTTTGTGGCACACTTTGAACCTCGAGAATCGCGTGAATGACAGTCACGGAATTGTGGAGGGTTTGACTTGCACAAAAAGACCACCCGAGACAGGCATGGATTAAAATCTTGCCTCTGAGGGTTGTATAACCTTCAGCAGTTTGCTTGTTTTTTCTGCACCTACTTTCCCCAAACGGTAAAGTGGGCATATTATATGCTAGACCAGTTGTGCTGTGAAGTTAGTCATTTATGCCAAGTGCATGGTGCTCTATAGGCCCTCAACAAATGTTGGTTCCCTTCTCCACTTAGGAAAAAGAGTTAATTCATTTGGTCAGCTAATGGCCAAGCATCTATTCTGTGCCAGGCATTATTCTGGATAGGTTTTTGTTTGTTTATTTATTTGTTTCAGTGCTGTCAAACTCAGGGCCTCATGCATTCAATACAAGAGCTCTACCAACAATGATTCTTAAAACTGCATTGAAGATTCCATACATCTACCAATTTTTCTTCAGGAAGAAGTCCACAAATATCAGAATTTCAGAAAAGTCCTCCATGTCCCAAACGTTGAAACCTCTGCTTAACATGACTGTCAGAGATTTTTGTAAAGATAGATGGTATAAGAAGCGTTTTGCTCAGAGCAGAACGTGCTGTTGGTCACTGTCTCTGGTAGCTGCTTCAATTTTGTTCTTTATTGTAGAACCTCTTTGCCCTGGCTTCCCTCGCCCTCCTAGCCAATGGGAGCTGCACTTCTGGATCAGAAAAAGGCCACAGCTGTGGGCTGGAGGTGGTGTGAGAGAAGCCAGTATGGCCAGGAGGGGGGAACCACTGTGATTACACTGGAAAAGGAGGTTTTTGGAGGTGAGGGGAGAGTTTAGATCTGAAAGAACTTACTGAATAGAGAAGTTAGTGGAAAAGAAGTGGAGTTTGAGTTCAGCTCTCTTTAAAAAAAAAATTATTCTGTGTGTATGTGTGTGTGTCTGTGTGTGTGTTAATAGGGATTGAACCCAGGGCTTTCCCACTGGGCTACATACATCCCCAACCCTTTTTCTTTAAATTGCTAAGTCACTAAGTTCCCCAGGCTGGACTCAATCTTGAGTTTCTCCTCTCTCAGCCTCCCAGAGTACTGGGATTGCAGGCGTGCTGCACCACCACGCCCAGCTCCCGCTCCCTTTTTTATGGTTTCCTTCTTTCCTTCTCCCTTACATATAGCTCAGCTCCTAGCTACTGCTTCTAGTCCTGTTCACTTCAGCACAAGTAATTCTCAACACTGGAGAATTGTATTTCTGGGAGGAACCTTTGCTTGTACAGATGAGGATATTTAGGCTCAGATAGGAAAAGGACTGGCCAGAATTTTTGCACATCTTGGGTTTAGGCAGGACCATAACCCAGTTCTCCTTATACCGGAAGCCAAGTCTTCCACTGCCTGCTGCGAGCAGAAAGACTTCTCTGGGATAGCAGTGAGTGGGGCTGGTGCTGGGCAGTGCCAGAGTGGGATGGATGGGGCAAGGGCTCAGGCCTGGGGAGATTGCTTTGAGCTGGATTCTGTTCCCTTCTTGCCTGGGAGCCCCCTCAGCTGCCCTCACAGCCTCCTGGGTGAACAGAGAAGGAGTGGAAGATGGGTCACCGTGGATTCCTTAATACTGTGTTTGGTGTGTTTCTTTTTTGGTACCAGGGATCGAACTCGGGTCCTTGCACTTGCGAGGCAGGCAGTGGAACCACTGAGCTAGATCCCTGGCCCTCTCCTTAATACTGTGTTTGAGGGTGGAGGGTTGAAGGGTGAGGGAGCTCTCCTGGTGGTGTGTGGTGCACACCTGCAGTCCCAGCCCTTGGGAGGCTGAGGCAGGAGGATCCTGGCAAGTTCAAGGCCAGCCTGGGCTACATAGCAAGATCCTGTCTCAAAAAAAGAAAAGGGAGCTGGGCTTTGAGGTGAGGGCCCAAAAGTGCTTACCAGGGAAATACATCCCTGAATGTGACAGGGCCATCCTGGTGTCCTTGGCAAGGGGCCTATGCTTTGTCAGAAAGCAAGGGTGGTGGATTAGGCCAAGGGAGACGGAGAGAGAGAAGAAGAGGCTTCTTGCCATGTGTCTGCTTGGCTTTGGCTGGGAGCTTGAAACAGCTCTTCCCACTGACTCAGTGGTTGCCCGGGTGACAGGGTGCTTGTTGCTAGGCACAGGGAGCCAGTCCGCTGTCCGAATCCTGGGCCGGGATGTGTGCAGGAGGTTGTTGTGTGACCTCAGCCAGAGGCAGAGGCCGCTCTGGGTGGCAGCTGTGCCGCCTCCCTCCTGCTCGCCGCATCCTGTCTGCTGTCCCTATCTATCTGCCCTCAGAGTCTGACCATATATGTCATTCTCGGGGCTCCAGGAATGCAGCAGGCTCTCGAGCAGCCTCCTCTCTGGGCTTGGGCAGTGGGGTTGAATTGAAAGCGCCCTTTGCCTGCCTTCTGGTGAGCCTGTGGAGGTACAGGAGGTGCAGGGGTGCTCCTTCCTGCCTCCAAGTCCCGGGATGGGGAAACCTGGTTCCTTTTCCCTCCCTGCAGGCTGTTCTGCCATCCACCCTCTGCTCCTCACTCCACACTTCCCCACAGTGCCTCCCTGTCTGGAGGGCGATCTGTTGCCTTTCCTGCCTCAATGCCAGCGTCTCCCCTCCCCCAGGCTAAGAGGCTAAGAGAGGTACTGGCAGGCAGATCCCATCCCCTGCTGCTGGGTCCACAACCTAGTTGCTTTTCTGGGACCCTGTCATCTCTGGTCACCTCCTTTTCCTTGGGCCATGGGAAGGGGTGGAGTAGCAAGGCCCATCGCTGGCCTTTTTCAGACATGGCCTTTGGAGACCCTTAGATTCTTTCTGGTTTGCTCTTTCTCTCTTTTTTTGTTTTTTTCAGTGCTGGGGATCGAACTCAGGACCTTGTGCTTGCAAAGCAGGCACAGCACCACTGAGCTAAATCCCCGGCCCTACTTTCTGGTTTTGTGAGACAGGGTCTCGCTGTGTAATTCAGGCTGCCCTTGAATTCACTATATAGCCCAAGTTGGCCTCAAACTCAGAACAATCCACCTGCCTCAGCTTTGCAAGTGCTGGGAGTACAGGCGTGCGCCACCAGGCCCGGCTTGGAGATCCTAGATTCTTGTAACATCTCTGAGCCTATAACTGCTGGGATCTGGGAGGCTTCTGTGCTCCAGGTTGCGGAGGAGAGGGTGTGTGCCTCACCCTCTGCAGCAGGGACTGCATGGTGAGGACAGGTGGGCGACAGGCAGTGCGGGCCTGGCACAGGCTTCCCACCCCACCGAGGGCCTGGAGCGAGGTGCCGGATGCGCCACCCTCCTCTGCCAGCTGCCTTTTCTGGCATCGTGCTCATGGAGCTTTGGAGAAGCGCTGAGGAACAGGGATGGGGAGCCAGGAGAGGGAGGAGTGCGGCAGTGGGACCGCTGTTGGGTTCTGCAAGGTGACAGAGATGTCACTGGCTCTGACCCCGCCTCCCCAGGTTTGTCTCAGGTTCTGCTGTGGACTCAGCCATGGACCCACTCTCCGAGCTGCAGGATGACCTGACCCTCGACGACCCCAGCCTGAACCAGCTCAAGCTGGCCTCCATCGATGAGAAGAACTGGCCCTCGGATGACATGCCTGACTTCCCCAAGTCAGGTGGGCACCTCGGGGAGTGCCTGGGGGCAGGGGGCACTCGGAGCTACACCTTGGGTGGGCCAGGGCCAGGCTTACAAGGTGGGGTGATGCCCTGTGCCCAACCCTGCTGTCCTCCTCAGATGACTCCAAAAGCAGCTCTCCAGAGCCTGTCACACACCTGAAGTGGGACGACCCTTACTACGACATCGCCCGGCACCAGATCGTGGAGGTGGCAGGTGAATGGGCCCAGGGCCTCCCCTCTTTCCTCACCATTTGACTCCAGAGGCGGGGACAGGGATACTCTGACCCCCACCCTGTGGCCTGACCCCAGCCTCGAGGCTCCTGAGGCCACAGACCTTTCCCGCAAGCACAGAGCTGATTGTGCCCACCACTTCCTGCCTCGAGACCCACATCTCCTTCTGGAGATGGTCCCTGGAGACTTCGAAGTCACACTCACACAGCACTGGCTTTTGGTCCCAGTGGGGTCCCAGCGAGGTTCACAGTAATGACAATGTGTCAGGGCCTAGCTTGGAGCCAGGACTTTGCTGGCCCTAAATAAGTGGCTGTTCCTTTCCCCTTGTCCAGTCCTCTCCCCGCCCTCAGCCCCGCCCTCCCACCTCTGCCCTGCCCTGCCCTGCCCTGCCCTGCCCTGCCCTGCCCTGCCCTGCCCTGCCCTGCCCTGCCCTGCCCTGCCCTGCCCTGCCCTGCCCTGCCCTGCCCTGCCCTGCCCTGCTGTCAGCTTCTCCATCCCTCCAGGAGGAGGGATGCAGGGCCCCCTCCCTGGGATGTGAGGAAGCTTTTGCTATTGGAAGAGGCTGCTGTGAGCCAGCAGGTGTAAGCAGGGGACAGGCTGACCCTGACCTGCGGCTGGGGGGCTGGTGGAATGTCCCTGGGAGCCCACAGTGCTTCAGAAGGGCCCTGGCTTTCCCCAGGGTGTGCCAAGGCCGAGGTTGATGATGTCAGTCCAGCCCTGTGATTGGCCTCTCAGGGCTGCGCCTCGGCTGGGGATCAGGTCCTGCTCTCCAGGGTTGGGAGCAGGGAGTGGTGTTGCCTGGAAACTGGGAACGGCAGAGTTTATGGGAGGCAGGGTGGGGAGGAGGCTGCCTGGGGACAGACACGGGGTCCTAGCCTGGCGAGGGCTCATACCTGTGATCCCAGCACCCAGGAGACCGAAGCAGGAGGAGGATCCAAGGCCAGACTGGGCTGCATGGCGAGTTCAAGGCCAGGCTGAGCTACAATAGCAAAACTGTCTCAAAAAAGAGAAAAAGAAAAGAAAGAAAAAAAAAACCAGAAAAGAAACTGGGGCAAGAGCCCTTGTGGGAAGGGAGAGTGAGTTCCGTCCTGACTCCTCCGCAGCCTGTGCCGCCCCCAGTGCAGTGGCTGTCACACTCCTTGGTCAGATGGTCCGGGCAGGTCCCTTCTGTGTGCTGGGAAATGTTTCCAGGAAGGCTGTCTGGAGAGGGGAAAGACGGCCAGCATTTGCGGCATTTGAAAGTTTGATCACAACTGCCAACCTAACAACTTAGCAAACTGCTTGGGCTGGAGCAGCCGCTGCACTGCCCCGTCCTGTTCTGCAGGTTGAGGGCAGCTGGGGAGGCCTGGCTGAGAGGAGCAGTCCTGTTGCTGATTAACACGAGAGGCCTGAAAGGCCCGCTGGTATCCGGGGAATGCAGGGGCTGGCTCTCAGGGGCTGTCGCAGTGCCCCTCCCCATGCTCTGCTCTGTTGACACTGCTGCCAGCTGTGTCTCGCCTTAAGTCTACAAGGTAGAATCCGGCCCTTTCCAAGCAAGGTTGGGCTGGGAGTCCCACGTCTCCTTTTGTCTGCTTGCATCATCGCTGTTGCCACCCCACTTGCTGGGAATGATGGGCCACCAGCCTTGGCTGATGATACCCTGCTTTAGGCAGTGGGAGGGCAGGGGCTACCTGCTAAGGTGCCCAAACCCTCAGTCCTTGGTGTCTAGGAGTCCTGTCCTCTGAGCCCTTTTGTTTGGTTTGGTTTTGGTTTTTGAGACAAGGCATCATTTGTAGCTCAGGCTGGCCATGAACTTGAGGTGATCCTCCTGCTTCAGACTCCAAGTGCTGAGATCACAGGTGTGCACCACCACACCTGGCTTCAGGGTGTGAATCTTTTTCTAGAAAACAACATGCATATATGTAATATTTTTCACGTGCTACCATGGAGTTAGGCCTGTGAGCCCATTCACAGAGCCCTAGTTGTGGACCCAGGATGTCCCTTTTCTGACCTACTTCCTTAACCACCACTGCCTCTGTCCATCCAGGGCTCCAGGAGCTCGCAGACTTCTGCCTGGGCCGAGTCCCTGGAGCTGCTGGCCAGTGAGAGCTGCCCTTCGGCTGGGCAGGGGCTAGAGAGTCTTTCCCAAGCCCCTCACTCCCGAGCTGTTCCCAGACTGCAGGCAGCTCCTGTGCCCAGGCGGGGTGCGTGGCACCTGCACCTGGCCATGGAACCCTTTGTCCTCTGCCTGCCAGGCAGTGGGAATCGAATCGGGGCAGGCAAGTGGCCCTGGAGATAAGCCAGAGCCTCAGGACCTGGTCCAGGAAGGGAGCGGTTGGCCCCCAAGGACCCTCCACACCAGCCAGGGAAGGACTCTGCACTTTGGCCTGCAGAAATTCTGTCCGGGGTTTGGGGCTATCACTGTCAGTAGAAGCCAATTGGTTACCTAAAACAAAGGTGAACAGAATCGTAGCTGTACAGGCCATGTCTCGGTGACAACACTTGCTATTAAGACAGGGGCGCACTTTGTTGTCCAGGCTGGTCTCAGCCTTAGTGGATCAAGTGATCTTCCTGCCTCAGCTTCCTGAATAGCTGGATCTATAGGCAGGTGCCACTGCACTCAGCTGTGGATACTTTTTGAATACTTCCCATGTGCTGAGCAACCTTAGAGATGCAGACAGATGAGACACAGTCCCTGTCTTTGAGCCGCTGGTGAACCTGTAGGAGACAAGGGCATAAACAAGCTAGGCATGGTGGTATACACGTGTAGACCCAGCAGCATGGGAGGCTGGGGCAGGAGGATCTCAAGGCTGGCTTAACTTGGGCAGTTTAGCAACTTAGCGAGACCCTGTCTCATTAAGAAAGGGATGGGGATATATTCACTGCACAGGTCCTGGGTTTAGTCCCCAGTACTGGAGGAGGAAAACACCATGAACAGTTAATTACACAGGAGTCTGTGTCATGGCAGAGATGGAGGGTTTTACACCAGGAGCCATGACAAGGGGCAGCTTGGCCGCTGTGGGGGAGAAGGGTGGGACTCCCAGAGGTGTAAGGGACATTTCCAGGCCCAGGGCACAGACTTGGGGCAGGTGGGGGAACAGAGCCTCTCTGGCCCCAGGTGACACCTGAGCATTGGAGGAGGCAGCGGCCAGGCCTTAAGGGCGGCAGAGCCAGGCTGTTTTCTGGGTGGAGACTGGAACGGGACCTGGCTGCTGTCACGTAGCTCGGTGCTGCCAGGCCACCTACCCTTGCCAGGTCATGTATAACTTCCTTCCTACGGCCCAGCGGGATTGCATTCCAGGGAGACCTATGTGTTTCTTCCTGGCAGCCCCACGGGGCTCGTGGCTTATTTCCGACAGCTGTGATGCCCGAGAAGCTGGTGCTGTCTTCTGTACCCTGGCCCAGTGGCCCTGGAAGTAACTTGTCCCTTCTCTCTTTTTTTTTTTTGGTACCAGGGATCGAACTCAGGACCTTGTGCTTTCGAGGTGGGTGGTGGAACCACTGAGCTAAATCCCCAGCCCTCTTTTCTTTATTTTTTGAGACAGGATCTCCTTATGTAGTCCAGGCTGGCCTTGAACTCACGATGATCCTCCTGCCTTAGCCTCCCAGAGTGCTGGACTTGCAGGTGTGCGCTACCTTGGCCTGCTTAGCCCCTCTTCCTTCCCTAAGTGGCCCAACCTGGAGGCAGGTGGCTTCCCAGAGGTAGATGTGGGGGTCCTCCCTGGCACAGGTCTCCAAGGTGGCCCGTGAAGCCCCTTGGTCCCTTCCTGGTTTGTCACCCGCACACTGCTGTCTCTGTCCACACCTAGGAGATGACAAGTACGGGAGGAAGATCATTGTGTTCAGTGCCTGCCGGATGCCGCCCAGCCACCAGCTGGACCACAGCAAGCTCCTGGGGTGAGTCCCTCACTCTGCTGCCCCTCTCTTGTGCTCCCCTCTTCCCATGGGGACGGGAGTCAGCTGCTTCCTAGTCCTGGAAACAGTGTGACAGTGGCAGGGGTCTCTGAACCTCCCCTCACCTCTCAGGAGGGCTGAGAGTGCGGTCCTCTCCTCATGGGGGGGGGGGCGTGTGTGAAAACACCTTGAAAAGTGACATACCAAGCTGGGCTTGGTGGTGCACACCTGCGATCCCAGCACTCGAGAGGCTGAGGAGGGAAGATTGTCAGGAGTTCCAGGCCAGCCTGGTCTACATACTGAGATCCTGTCTCAAAAAGAAAATTACTGTCCATATGATTATATGGTGTTTCTGATGTGGTACGTTTATCACTTATATTCATAATTATTGATAAGAGGTGTTATTCTATTAAAAACTTTTTATTAGTGCTTTTTTATTTTTGGTACTTCAGTTGAACTCGGGACCTAGCAATTGCAAGGCAGGCAGCAGAACCACTGAGCTAAATCCCTGGCCCTTTTTTTTGGTTTTTTGAGACAGGGTCTTGCTATGCCATACAGGTTGGCCTTGAACTCACTGTGTAGCCCAGGCTAGTTTTAAACTTGTAGCAATCCTCCTGTCTCAGCCTCCTAAGTGCTGGTATTCCAGGCATGCGCCACCACACCTGGCTTATTAGTGTGCATTTGCAGTGCACAATGATCACATTCCTGTGGGGAATCTATCTGTGCACAACACGGTGGAATTCTTTTTATTCCACCCCACCCCCACTCTGTTATGCCCTTGTGCTTTAAACTTGGGACCAGTGGTTTCTGTTGGAGAAGCATATGCAGCAGAGCCAGCTCCTAACACAAGTCCGAAGGCTGGGCACAGGCTGGTAACGATGCCTTCTGATAACTGCCCATTACTCAGCAGGGACGGGCCTGCTGTCCCAGGGCGTGAGTCACCGCCTTTTTTTTTGTAGTACTGGGGATTGAAACCAAGGCCTTCACACTGAGCCACATCTTCAGCCCTTTTTAATTTTTTTTTTAAAATTTTGAGACAGGAGCCAGGCGTGGTGGCCCATGACTGGAATACCAGCACTTGGGAGGCTGAGGCAGGAGGATCACTGCCAGTTCAAGGTCCGCCTGGGCTACATAGCAAAACCCTGTCTCAAAAATATTAAAAAGTACAATTTTCATTATGATGTCCTTGTTCCCCTTCTACCTGTATTTTATTTCTTCTCTCCTACCTTAGCGGAAATTTAACGTCTCCATGCTGCCTGAAGCACCTCTTTGGGATCCCGTAGGGTTGTGAGTGTGCAGGGCCGGGGTGGGTTCAGGGACAGCAAAAGTGCTGACGCCCAAGTTTGGTTCTCTCAGCTGGGCCGGGCTAAGAGCCAGGGCCAGCAAGGCTGTGAGTTGGTTTGTCTTTGTTTTTTGAGACAGGGTCTCACTATGAAGGCCAGGGTAGCCTTGACCTCCTAGCGATCCTCCTGCCTCAGCCTCCAGAGTGCAGAGATGACAGGTGTGAGCCATCACACCCACTGGGCCCATGAGAGCTTTTTCTCCTGCTCCTCCTTCCTTTCCTCCTGCTGCTCACAAGGGGCAAGCAGAGTCCTATCCAGGCCACCACGGGCCCAGCCAGAAACAGGCTGAGAAGCTCGGCCCAGGCATGGCTGATCACTGCCTTAGGTGTCTGCTGAGCCAGGTGACAGACTCCTAGCCAGATAGCACTTCTGGTGGGCGGAAGTCAGGGGCAGGGAGGGGAAGCATCCAGATCGCAGGCAGCAGAGGGAAACTGCTGGGTTCTTCCTCACTGCTTCGGGCTTCCATCTCTTCCGGGCTTCATGCTCTGTCCCCACCTGCCACTCTCTGCGCACGGCACACACACATAGAATTGAGTCCCCTCCAGTAGATAAGATACATGAAATGCCACTGTTTACATTTTCAAAGTATTATATTTTTGAGAGGTTAGGAAAATGTAAGCAGCTATGAAAAAATAGATAACTATTTTAAAAAAAGCTCCTGCAAACTTACCACTTGGAGTGAAAACCACTTTTAATATTTTGCTGGGCCGGGCATATAGCTCAGTGGTACCACCCCTTCCTGGCAAGTGCAAACGTTCTGAGTTCAATCCCCAGTACCAAAAGAAAAAAATTGCTATATTCACTTCCTGTTTTGTTTTCTGTAACATACATGGAATTCCATAGTTGTTTATTTTATAAGACATTTAGTCTTCTGGGCATAAAACATTCCTCAAAGACATTCTTTAAAAAACATTTTATTTTTTAATTTTTTGGGGGGGGTACCAGGGATCAAACTTGGGTCCTTGTGCTTGTGAGGCACGTGGTGGAACCACTGGGCTAAATCTCCGGCCCTAAAAAACATTTTATTGCCAGGCATGGTGGCACTTGCCTGTAATCCTAGCACTTGAGAAGCTGAGGCAGGAGGATCACTGTGAGTTCAAGGCCAGCCTAGGCTACATGGTGAGCTCAAAGCCAGCCTGGACTATATAGTGAGACTGTATCTTAAAAAACAAACAAAAAACCTAAACATTTTTTGACATATAAGATGCAGACAGAAAAGTGACCAAATTGTAAATTTGCTAGGATTTTGTCTCTTCCTCTTTCTTTCTCTTCTTTCCTTTAACAAAGTCTCACTAAGTTGCCCAAGCTGTCCTTGAGCCTGTGGTCCTCTTGCCTCTTGCCTCCTAAGAGGCTGGAATTATAAGCATGTGCTACTGTGTCCAGCTTTCCTTTTCCTTTACTGTGTTTTTTTGAGAGGTGGGACTACATGTCCTCCCACGGTGCCCAGCTTCTGGTGAGTTTCCAGGCTGGACACCTGCGCCGTGCCCCATGGCTGCAGATCCTTTGCTCCTCCATTTTCATCTCCGGTGGCCACTGTCTTTCGGCGGCCTTCACGGTCTCCTGTCTGCTGCAGTGTCCCGGGAGCGGCCCTGTTTCTGGGCCCCTCATGTTGGACAGCTAGCTTGCCGCCTGGTCTTGCTCCATCATGAAAGTCTAGATTGAATAGCCACCTACCAAGATGTTCTGTTCATCTTTGTTTTTTTTTAAGTTAAAAAAATTGTAGAGCCGGGGATTTAGCTCAGTGGTTCCAGCGCCTGCCTCGAAAGTGTAAGGTCCCGAGTTTGATCCCTGGTACCAAAAACAAAAAAACAAAACAAAACAAAACAAGTTAAAAAAATTGTAAGTGCATATTTGCAGTACACTATGATGACATTCCTTGTGGCGGGTTGGTGCACTGACATAACACATCTTTTTACTTCCCCTTCCCTTTTCCTCTCTGCTCCCTTCTTGTAGCTCTCGGTTGGGTATTTCCTTAGTATAAACTCCTGGGCATATTTTTACAGGCTAAAAGAGTATGAACATTTTGTAGCTTCTGGTAATTACTACTTAAATACCTTCAAAAAATTACAACATGTGGCCAGGTGTAGTGGCACAAGCCTGTAATCCCAGCACTCAGGAGGCTGAGTCAGGAGGACTACCATGAGTTCCAGGTCAGCCTGGGCTACATAGTGCATTCAAGGCCAGCCTGAACTGTACAGCACAACACTCTCAAAAAAAAAAAAAAAAAAAAGGCCAGGGATTTGGCTCAGTGGTTCCGATGCCTGCCTTGAAAGCGCAAGGTCCTGAGTTCAATCCTCAGTACCAAAAAATAAATTACATTTCTCAGTGGATGAAGTATCTGTTTTCACTATAACCTACCAATTTTTTTTTTGGTTGATTTTATGAGATAGGGTATTACTATGTAGCCCAGGCTGGCCTTGAACTTGAGGTGATCCTCCTGCCTCAGCTTCTAAGTGCTGGAATCACAAGCATGTGCCACCACACCTGGCTTCCCTCTGGGCTTTTTTTTTCTTTTAATTTTATTGGTACACTTTAGACACACATAACGATCACATTCATCATAGGAAGTTTGTACCTGTCTGAGATAGCTCTTGATTCTTTTTTCCCCAATTTCCTTCCCTCCCTTAACCCTTCTTCCCCTCTGGGCTCCCGTGTGAATGTGTTGTGTTGGGAGTGGACACCGTGTTGTGAGCAGGAGGAGCCTGCAGGGTGGCTCCTCAGGCCACTGAAAACCTAGTGCCCGAAGCTTCAGGACACCTTGTTTACAGCCTGCTCCAGAGCCCGCTGTGAAATTCATTGTCCCAAAGTCAGGGTTAGGGTTAGGCTTCCGAGCGGCTCGGGTGCTGTGTGGACTTCTCTGCTCAGTGCCCTCCTGTAAGACGGGGTGAGGTGGAGGCCGGGTGCTGGGCTGACACTGAACTCCCGCAGGGATGTGACTTCCTGTTGTTACCGCCTGGGGCAGTCCCCGGGGCAAGTGCCCTTCATTCCCTTTTTACCGAAAGGCAAGTCGTAGTAGGAGGCTCCGCTGATGTCCAGGTCTCCGGACTTGTAGTCGTGCTCACCAATGAGAGCGGGTAGCCAGGCGCTGTGGCGCACGCCTGGGATCCCCGCACTCTGGGGGCTGTGGCGGGAGGGTCACAAGTTTAAACACTGCCTGGGCAATTTAAAGGCTCAGCAAAACCTTGCCTTACCGTCATCCCTCGAGCCGGGCCGGGGCCTCCTCCTCAGGGCGCTGGGCCAGGATGGACACCGGAGGGCCCGCTCCTCTCCGCCCGCCCCGTCTGAGCGCCCCCTCCCCCGCAGGTACCTGAAGCACACGCTGGACCAGTACGTGGAGAGCGACTACACGCTGCTCTACCTGCACCATGGCCTGACCAGCGAAAACAAGCCCTCGCTCAGCTGGCTGCGCGATGCCTACCGAGAGTTCGACCGCAAGTGGGTGGGGCCGGGGCCCGGGACGCCCCTGCTTGGGCCGCCCCCCTCCAGGGTGCACGAGAGAACCTGAAGTAGGAAGGGCTAGGTTATTCTTTGCGATCATTCACGTGGCTTAGCCTCTGAGAATGGAGCAGCAGCGGCCTTACCTCCTGGGCCCGCCAGGACCAGCTCTAAGCTGGGCGTGGCGGCGCACGCCTGTGATCCTGGTGCTGAGAAGGCTGAGGCAGGAGGATCGCTGTGAGTTCCAGGCCAGCCTAGGCTACATAGCCCTGTTTCAAAAAAAGAAAAAAAAAAGACAAAGCAGCCCCGACTGCCCTCCCCTCCCCCTCTCCACTCCCTGCGCTGCCCCCACAGGTACAAGAAGAACATCAAGGCCCTGTACATTGTGCACCCCACTGTATTCGTCAAAACCCTGCTCATCCTTTTCAGGCCCCTCATTAGGTGAGTGGCCCAGGGGGCAGGTGGTGTCCCCGTGTCCCTTGGGGCCTGAGCAGGGGCCTGAGGAGGCCCCACCCTGACAACCCCTGACCAGGTCCTTTCTTCCTTCGAAGCTTGAAGTTTGGGCGGAAGATCCTCTATGCGAACTACCTGAGCGAGCTCAGTGAGCACCTGAAGCTGGAGCAGTTGGGGATCCCCCGCCAAGTGCTCAAGTGAGTTGGGCGTGCACCATGTGGGGGCAGGATGAGCCACCAGGGGGTTGGACTCCGAGGGGAGCCTTGGCTACTGGGCCGAAACAAATGTCATCATTCATTATTCATTCACTTGGCTTGGGCTTTTTTGATTTGGGGTGTTTTTTGAGATAGGAACTCTCTATGTAGCCCAGGCTGGCCTCCAACTTGTGGCGATCCTCCTGTCTCAGCCTTCTGAGTGGTGGGATTGCAGGATAGCAAATAGATCGGACAGCAAAATCAAACCCCATGTCTGTCACTGCCAGGAGACTGAATCTCTTGGCCTATGGTCATGGGAGGCAGGCGCTCTACTGCTGAGCTACAGCCCTGCCCCGGTGACCGGGTCCCCTCAGTGTTTGTTTTCTTGTGTAGAGCATGACATAGGGGTGCTCTGAGAGTCCATGAAATAACCTGTATAAAACTTCAGTAGCAAAGGCCTGAGAAACTCAGCTGTGAGAACACAGAGCCAGACAGGCCCTGACGCTCATCCGTCTGCCCCAGGTACGATGACTTCCTCAAGTCCACTCAGAAGAGCCCCGCGACAACCCCCAAGCCCATGCCTCCTTGGCCGCCTCTGCCCAACCAGCAGTTCGGGGTGTCGTTGCAGCAGTGAGTATGCCGGGTGGGCGGCCGGGGTGCAGGGCCAGGCCGGGCTGCAGCCCACTCATGGCCCTGGTCCCAGCCTGCAGGAGAAGAGCCTGGGGCAGGAGCCCATCCCCGTCGTGCTCAGGGACACCGTCGCATACCTGCAGGCCCATGGTGAGTGCGCAGCCTGGGTCCTCGGGCACACTGTGGCCATCCAGCTGCCCTGGGGACACTTCGGGCCAAGCCCGACACTCACCAGGCCCTGTCCACAGCTCTCACCACCGAAGGCATCTTCCGGAGGTCAGCCAATACCCAGGTGGTCCGTGAGGTGCAGCACAAGTACAACATGGGTGAGAGAGCGGCGGTGGCTCGAGCCCTGTGTGTGTGAGGGAGGGCGGCCCGTGTAACCCCGGGGACTTCTCTGCCTTCCGCTGCCCAGATTCCCTTCCATCGGAGGTTTTGGGGCCAAGTGTCTGATGACACGGTCGTCCCGGGCCTGCCCTGTCTGCCGGGCTGTGGGTCCCCAAGCTCGGCTCATCCAGCGGCAAGGGGCAGCCAGTGGGGGCCCGAGGCTCTGCTCTGCTCATGGCTGAGCCCACATCCTGGGTCCCAGAGGAGGAGCGGGGCGGGTGGCACGGGCTGGAGCTGTGGCCGGGCTACCCTGACTGCCCACTGCCACCCAGGCCTGGCCGTGGACTTCAACCAGTACAATGAGCTGCACCTGCCTGCCGTCATCCTGAAGACCTTCCTGCGAGAGCTGCCTGAGCCCCTGCTCACCTTTGACCTGTACCCCCACGTGGTGGGCTTCCTCAGTGAGTCCCTCTCCCTCCTCCCCTCCTGGCTGTGCCAGCCTGCTGCACTCGGGGCTGGGGCTGGGGCTGGGGCTGGGGCTGGGGTGACCTGGGCCCATTCCTCATAGACATCGATGAGAGCCAGAGGGTGGAGGCGACGAAGCAAGTGCTCCAGACGCTACCCGAGGAGAACTACCAGGTCCTTCGCTTCCTGACTGCCTTCCTGGTGCAGGTGAGGCCTCGCCCCAAGGCTCACCTGGGGGCCTGGGAGGGAGAAGGGCTGGTGCCCCTGAAGCTGCAGCCCCCGTCTTCCTCCCCAGGTTTCTGCCCACTGCGACCAGAACAAGATGAGCAACACAAACCTGGCTGTGGTTTTCGGCCCTAACCTGCTGTGGGCCAAGGATGCCGCCATCACCCTTAAGGCCATTAACCCCATTAACACCTTCACCAAGTTCCTCCTGGATCATCAAGGGGAGCTCTTCCCCAGCCCCGACCCCAGGGGGCTCTGAGCCCAGCCCTGCCCTCCGGCCCTTCTGTTATCCCGTCCTACTCTTCCTCCTGGCTTCTGCCTCAGGGGAGGCAGGGCACCTGCCCAGGATGGGCTGCAAAGCCTCCAGGGTCGGAATCTGTCGGAACCACCACTCCCCCGCTCTGCCCAGCCCTCCTGTCCCTAGGACATTTGTCTTCGCCTTACACTTCTCACTGCCTCTCTGGATGGGCAGCTCCTGCAGGGCTTGGCTGGTCCAGCTGGAGAAGGACTGAACCTCAGTAACCCCTTTTCTGCTTTTTCTGCCTCTGTTTCCCCGGCAGTGGGATGACCAGATCCCTGCTGGCTGGGCTGGGCCTACGGCTGGTACCGGGATGGTCTTACCTTTCCAAAGGCTGGGGAGTGAACAGCCAAACTCCGAGGCGTGGCCTGGCCATGCCCCCAGCGCTTCCCTGTCTGGGTCCGATTGCTCTGCCTTTAGAAGTCCCACGATATCATGGCATAGATGCAGCCCCTGTGCCTCTCCTCTCGCTCACGGCTCAGCCCTGGGTCCCTTGCAGCTGAGGAATGCCAGGCTGGAGCTTTCTGCTTTCCGGGCCTGCTTTTCCCAAGTGGCCCTGTTCCCAGGGTCCTAACCCCCTGGTTCTGTCAGGACTGGCATCCTGGATGCAGGACCCAGGGTCCCCATGTCCACTGGAAATGGCCACACTCCCTCTCTCCATGGTGGCTCCTCCTCCAGCCAGGGGACTCTGGGCTGGTGCTGAGGCTCTCCGGTACCCACTAGAGGGGCAGAGATTTTGCTAATAGACCAAACCCGGCAGGGGGTCCTAGCATTGTCCCCGAGGGTGTCTGGTGCCTACCATTGTTGTCAGAAAGCCTGGGCTCCGATGATGGTTGACATTCCTCATTTCTCCCTGGCTGGTAACCTCTCCCTGCAGTCTTGTGCCCTGGGAGCAGGGAAGTACCACAGTGATCCTGTGACCACGGCGAGGGCCAGGCAGGACACCTGCACAGCCTGTACTGTGGGGATCCTCCTGGACTGACTGGTGGCCTGGCTTCCTGTCCATCCTGTCTCGGGGCTGGCCTGGGCCTCTGGGCTCCCTGCCACCTTTGTATATCGAGTGTTGCTCACAGCCCCATTTCCTGGGGAGCCTTCAGGATCTCTTCTGTCCCCTGCCCCACTAGAGTGTACCCAGGGACAGTGGTCCTGTGAATCGAGTGTTCACATCCACACCTAATGAGTTCCTTGGCACCAATCCTGTATTTCACCATTTGCACTTTTTATATTTCAATAAAAATGGAGATGGAAAACTGCCCCGTCTGGCTGTTCCGCAAGTGAGGCCTCCAGGTTCGGAGCTGGGTGAGAAGTGCCATGTGGTGGAGGAGTCCATCCGTCCCTCCTCTAGCTCACTTGTGACTGAGTCAGAGGACAGATGTCTGACCGTCTTGTAGGCTTGGAGTAGTGACTGTCACCTTCCACGCTTCCGCACCTGCGCACTCCAGCTGGTCACCAGTCACTGCATGCAGGACAGGGTCTCCTGCCTCCAACCAAAGGCACTGGAAGTTTGGAGGGGACTTAGGCTTCTCTAAAGTAGGCAGAGGGGGAAGACCAGAGTGAACAGGGACAGACACCAGTGTGGGCCTTGAATGCTCACTCAGCAGCCCTGGCTGGCGATGGTCATAGAACCGGCCGCTGGCCCCACCCGAGGGTCAGAAATAATCCTGACAGTATGTGCGACAGAAGTGCAGTGGAAGCCAGAATGACGGAGGAAGGGAAGTGATGGTTCCAACCTCACGTGGCAGAGGGGACTGGCACCGTCCTCTCCGGACCCCTTTCCTCATCTCCCTGCCCCTTAGTCTCGGGGCAAAGCTGCATCTGCCTGCCACCTCCTCACACGGAAGCTATGAAAGATCTGGTTTTCCCTTGCTCTCTTAAGCAAATTTTGCTTTATTTTAAAGGCTAAAGTGGTAAATATAAGCCAGGTGTGGAGGCAAATGCCTATAATTCCAGTATTGGGAGGCTGAGGCAGGAGGAGCCTGAGTTTGAGGCCAACCTGGGCTACATAGTGAGACTCTGTTTCAAGAAGCAAAACAAAAACGACAAATACAAGCGTGTGGCTTGGTGGTGCAGCCCTGGCCTAAAACATTCTCAGGTACAAGGTTCCATCCCTAGCACCACAAAAAAAGGAAAAGATGTTAAATTTATGTATACTTCAGAGGTTTCTTTCAATGGTTCCTCCCTGGGGGGCTGGGGGTTAGGAGGAAAGGATTTCACCTGGCACAGGTAAAGCTCAAGGTCAAGCTCCAGGTGTGTGCTGTGCACCTCCTGGGTGCAGCTAGGAGACTACGGTGGCCCAGCTGGGCCTGCTTTCTCCTCCTCGAGTTGCTGGGGCAGCCTGGCTGGAACTGCAGCATCAGGTAGCGTCAGGAGGGTAAATATGGCCCTGAACTCCAGCAGAGTTGTCCACTGCACAACCATGGCCTCTCCAGGACCTTGGGCAGGAGGCACTGGCAGCTCCAAGCTGGGTGACGAGCATGGAGATGGTGGCCCAGGGGAGCAGGGGCGGGGAGCTGTTTACTTGGTTGGGCTCTGGTGGGGCCTCCAGGACTGTTTGGTGCAAGTTTGCAGAGGCTGTAGGGACAGCAGGTCTCGGGGGTGGAGCACAGGGAAATGTCACAGGGCAGCTGACCACTTAGGTTGGGGGGATCCCCATGGGAGGGGGCTCACCAGGCAGTGCTACCACCGTTTCTCAACAGGAAGTGGGGCACAGTGCCAGCTGAGTGTGAGGTCTGCTGTCACGGGCCATTTATAACAAGTGTACCGCCTGGCCCTTCCTAGCCGAGCAGGCTGGCCCATTCTCTGCTGAATTTAGGCCTTGTCCTTTTTTTTGTCCTGGAGCCTCATGGGGATGAGGGAGACGAAGCCCTGGCAGGCATGTCCAGTTGATTGGCTACTTCCCTTTTACCCAGAAGCATCTCTGCCTCTGGACTGTAAGCTCTGCCTTCACACACACAGACAGACACACCCAGCTTTGCTAGGGTTCATCCCGATCCTGCAGCCAGACAGACCAACCTGGGCTGGGGTCTTCCTGGCTCCTCTCTGGAGTTGGTCAGAGCAGGGCAGCAAACGCACTCACTCCTCCCCTTCCTTTCCCTCGGTTTGCCCAGCCAAAGCTGTCACTGCATTAGCAGCCACTCCCTGCCACCACTTCTGGGACTGTGGCATAAGGCATCATCTCCTCAGGCCAGTGGTGAGTTACGTCAGGAGAAAGAACTGAGGACAAGCCAGACATGGTTGTGTGCACCTGCAGTCCCAGCACTCTGGGAGGCTGAGTCAGGAAGAACCCAAGTTGGAGCCCAGCCTGGGATACCTAGCAAGTTGGTGATAGCCTACCTCAAAGCAAAGGAACACCACCACCACCACCAAAAACCAAAATGCACCAGGGAGGTAGTTCAGTGTAAAGGCCCTGGGTTCAATCCCTAGTACAAAAAAAAGAAAAATTTACTATGAGTATACTTCATATATTGCCTCACTAAACTCAAATACACAACCCTGTGATGGGAACACCAAGGAAAACAAGGCTCCAGGAGGCTTTCTGACCAACCACACTGCTTGACTCCAAAGCCCTGTCCTTCCCAGCCCCAGCCTACCCCTTTCCATGGGGCCTGCTGATGACCCAGGCTTGGGCTAGGTGTCTGGACAACTTGCAGGACCAGAAACCTTAAGTACAGAAAAACCTTTATTGGAAATCTCTGAATACATTTTGAAGTACAGCTCAGTTACTTCCCAAGGAGGCTGGAGGAGGAGGAACTGTGCCAACTAGAGACAGACAGGTCCTGGCCCGGGTGGGCCTTTTGGGAGTTGGTCTAGGGCTCTGTCACATGGGGCTGAGGGTTGGGACCAGCCTTGACGTCGCTTTGCTCCTCCCGGCCCAGCTCGAGGTCAGGGCTCAACTTCCCCGGCCTCTTCATGGATGGGATCCTGGAGAAAGGCTGGGGCCCATAGAGGGCATAATCAGGGCAGCAGAGGACAGTGGGGACCAGCCTTTTCATGCAAGCCTCGGGCACAGGGTGGCAGCTGGCTAGGCTCCCCGGCCCAGGCTGGAGCTGGGGCATCTGACTGGTTCCGCAGCTGCCATGGATGCACCCTGGCTGAGGCAGGAGGGCCAGCTGGCCACCACCAATGGGACTTTCCTGTGGCAGCAGAAGCAGGCACAGGCAGGTCTCTCCTCAGAGCCAGCCTTGTGGGTGGGAACGGTGTCACATGCAATTCACTGACAAGTAATCGAGGGCTGCCTGCCTCACTGAAGAACAGCTGGTGCCAGGGAGTACCCGGGCAGGAGGCTGGGCGAGCAGGTGGGCACCTGATCAACTCAGGTGAGCACCTGAAGGGTGCAGTCAGGTGCTGGCCCAGCTTTGGTTTCTCCACAGGGGACCAGCCCAGGGCAGTGTCACACCCAAGCAGCAGGAGGATCAGAAGGCGCCCCAGCCACACGCAATGCCCTTTAGGCACTGCGGGTGGCACCACTCTGGGTCCTCACATTAGCACCCAAGACTTCCTGGGCTTCCGGAACTGACACAGTTACACAGGAGCTGAGAGACTGAGTGCCCGCCAGGAAAGCCGATCCCAGATGGGGTGGTCCTGAGCTGGGGCTCTGCTCTCGGCTGGCCCATTCTTGGCTCCTGCCCCATGCACAGGGGCAGGGAGACTCTCAGAGCAGCAGCCAGGGTTCTGGGGACCTTCCTGAGCAGCAGGCCTCCGCCCCAAGGAAACAGCTACCTCCAGTGGGTTTTCTCTATAAAATATCTGATTTCTCTGAAACTAATAAATATTTACCATTCCTATAACCAAGGAGCAGCAAAGGGGAGGGAGGGGAAGGAAGAACCTTCACCAGGACTCTGGATGACAGAATCCTGGGGACATGGGATTCAGAGCTGAGGAGCTAGGCACAGGCAGCCACCAGGGCTGCACAGACCCCAAGGAAGGCCTGGCACAACTGTCCTGGGGGACAACTGGCACTGGAGTTGTCACTATAGGCAGGCAGCCCCATCATATTGCCAAAAACACAGGCATGGGGCAGACAGCAAGAGGAAGCCAGGCCTGGGAGCTGGGGAGACACAGCCTCAGGACCCCTCTTCCTCCCGGCACTGCCTGGTTCCTCTTTCTGCCTGCACCACCTCAGCCACCAGCGGGAATGTCAAGTGGTCGATGGCCAGGACAGGCAGGCAGGAGGCAGAAGTGGTCAATAACCCTTTGTAACGCAGTCAGTGACGGGTGGGATGCACAGATGGCCCTGCGGAGGCCCTTGTTACAAAGGGTCTTCCTTCTCCAAGGCCAGCGGGGGTCCTCCCAGCCATAGTCACGGGGTCTGCACGAGGTGGAAGGGAGGGGCTTCTGGGTCACCCCAGAGAATCATCCTGCCGTCCACCTGGCTAGAAGCGGTGAGAGGGATGGGAGCAGCTCCAGCCCCCGGGACCACAGAAAGGGGTGCTGCTGGTACTGGAGGCTACTTTTACTGCAGGGTTTCGACAAAGGCATCGAATTCTCGAACGTTCTTTTCGTGCACAGCCAGCTTTTCGGGTAGGGAGTCCTGTCAGGGAGGAGAGGAGAGGAGAGGAGAACTTCTTATTTGGACCACCAACTGGACTCCCAAGGAGAGGCAGGCACTGAGGAGGCAGGCCAGCTGCATGGGCATTGGGACAGGGAGGGACATGTCCATCTGGCTTGCACACAGCCTGGGGAATCCACGTGGGTCACACACTCAGCGTCACGGAAGACAGACCATGCCAAGAAGGGCTTAGCACAGAAATTGAACATGAAATATCCGGGGTACACATCAGACCCTAGATAAAACTGCAAGTTTATAGCTCTGAATTAAGCGAAGTTCCATGGCAGCCTTCTCCGGACACCGGAACACCTTCCTGGAAGAGGAAGTGGACAGCCCCACGGCACCACCCACAGACTGCCCGAGCAGGTCCCAGAGGCCTGGGCACCTGCCTCTTCACACCAGCCTGGGCGGAGAGGGACAGCAAACGAGAGCCCCAGAGGGAGAGCCCCAGAGGGACAGGGGACCAGGAGACCTGAGCTGTCATCCCTTGCCAGAGAGAAACCAAGGCTGGGCCCTGAACAGCAGTAACCCTGCCTGCAAGGCCGGTGCCATGGAGACTCTCCAGCCTCGGATCCCAGAGTGGCCCAGACACAGCTGGGTCTGGCTTCGGACACTCAGCACACAGGACCCATTTCCTCCTGACCACATGTCAAATGACAGGCAGGACAGTCAGGGCAGAGAGCGAAACTCAGAGCCACGCCCTCTGGGATCAGGTTCCCCTGGCTGTGTGACCATAGGCAAGTTATTCCAGCAGAGATTGGCTTTCTGGTCTGTAAGGTGGGGTAAGAAAAGGCCCCTTTCATGATGATTGGGGGTTCATGTTAGGCACTTAGAATAACACTTGGCAGATGCTAGGTGTGGCTCATGGTAGCCTATCGGGTACCAGGCCTTGGGTTCCATCCCCAGCATGAATGAAGAAAGGGAAGGAAAAATGCCTGGTGCTTATGCAGGACACTTGTCAGACCTTCACAGGCGAAAGAGGAAATGCCCCAAGTAGAGATGTGCCAGTTACGGCTGGCAGCAGGATGTCTCCCAGGCAAGACAGCCACCAGAGAAGGAGCTCTGAGCGAAGGGCACGAAGACCCTCAGACTGTGCCTCTGCCCTGCACCACGGGCCATCTGCCTGGCAGGTGACAGAGCTGGGTGCCAGAGCCATGGGAGCAGCCGAGACAGGAGTGTGCAGGTCGTACCGAGAATGTGCAGAGAAAGGGACCCGGGCATGAGCAATCTCAAGGTAACAACTGTGCAGCACCGTGGGAATCTCAAGTGTGACCAAAAGACAATGATCTATACCTCAAATGTCTCTTTCCCATGACAGGGACATTAGGAGGTGTAAGGGTGGGCAGGAGCAATAGGAAATGTCTGGCCCATGGGACAGAAATGACCATCAGATGGGGACAGGAAGATGGGGGAAGAAGGGCTGTGGTGGGGAAGGGTCTCCATACCAAGTCTTCTGCCATGGACTGGGCTCCAATGTCTATGGAGAGGCTGCTTAGCTGAGGGGGGTTCTGAAACTCACGGTAGAAGGTCCCCAAGTCCATCGGAAGGATGTCGTCTTTAGAAAAAGCTGGTTTCTTCAAAAACAAGAGATTCACTTCAGCTTGCCTCAGAGCACAAAGGGAAATCTAAAACTGCAAACAAGTCTGTTTTCTTCCAAGGGCTGTCTGAGGGAAGACGGTTCTTGGTTCGTCTGAGGGGGAGGGATCTTTACCCCTTCTCTTCTGGACTGCTGACCTCTAAGCCCGGGGATGCTACCCCTTCCCCACCGAGCTTTCTGTCTCCTTATGAAAACAGCTTTCCTAAGCAAAAGGCCACCCATTTAGGCATGAACAGGACCCAAGTGGAAACCACTGGAAAACCTCCATTTAGAGCTGAATTTTAACCAGACATGGCATGAAAACTGTTACTGTCCCTAGGCCCCAAAGTCTCCCAGGCAGATACCTCCTGTCGCACAGCCCAGCCCAGCCCAGCCCAGCCCAGCCCAGCCTGAGAGGGAACTCACTACTGCTCAAGCCCAGCAGAAGCCCCCAGCTTTGCTGTCCCCAGGCCAGCGGAGCCAACTTACGAAGTCGACCATGACAAAGTCATCGTGGGGGTTGCCGCTGCTGCCCTCGCTGGAGCCCTCGGAGTGCAGGCTGCCGTGGAGAGGAGACACAGCTTCTGGGGAGTCTGGGGGGTTCACCTGTGCACAAGAGGCAGAGACAGGGGCTAGGGATGTAGCTCAGGGGTACGGCACCTGCCTGGCAAGTGCAGGGTCCTGAGTTCGATTCCCGGTACAAAAAAATAAAATAAATAAAAGAGGCAGAGTCAGGGTGGAAGCCGTGACCTGGGTGGCTGTCCCTGTTTATATGTGAGGATTCTGGAAGAAGCCCGATGCTGGCCACAAAGGCTTCTGGTCTGGGGAGGCCTTAATGACTGTAGCCCAGGAGGGGGGATGCCAACTGTGCCATCTGTGAGAAACTGGCAGTCAGTCACCAGTGTGCTCACCATAGGGTCAGTATCCTCCAGCTCCAAGTTTTTGGGAGCAAACATGGCAAAGGGTATGTCCAAGCTCGTCAGGGTCACCTACAGAGCCGAGAGAGAAGCGTTTGTGCCTGCCCCTCCCCTAGCCCCCAGCTGCCAGGGGTTGCTGCCAGGTGGTGCTGCCCACACACTCCCAGGCTGACTGCGCTGACCCCATGCCCATCCCCACCACAAGCACCCAGTGTGCATGGGGCTGGGCTCCTGAGGACCCTGCCTGGGAAGGGGGCTCTAGATCTCCTGCAGCAGCTCAGGAACCATGGCCTGGGCCACCGAGGCACTTCAGGCAGCTTCAGGCAGGGCCTCGGCCTCAAGATGCAACACACAATGCTGGCAGTGCCACGGGACCTGCCCCAGGGCCTTCTCGGGGACAGAGGAGTCACCTGGTTGATGGGCTTGTTGACAAAAGCCCCCACTTTCCGGACAAAGATGGTCTCCAAGACATCGTGGGGGGAGGCCCGGCCCTCACTGCTGTTGGAGACGGTTTCGGTGCCCTCACTGAAGGAGAAAGGTAAAGATGGTTCCCGTCTCACACCACGGAACAGCTTAGCTCCAGAGCCCACCCTCCTGAGGGGCTGTGGCCTGTGCAGGAACTGGCCCCAGCCACCCACGTGGGGCAGAGGACTATGTGGCGTGGTTGCTGCCACTGTCCCTGCCTCATGAGTGGACAGCACGCACGCTAGTGAGACTTCATATTAGAGCTGTGTGAGAGCCGGTGTGAAATTTCACCTGAACGCCAGTGCTAAAAACCCATTATCATGCATGCAGCACCACAGACAGGGACGAGCCATCTCAGAAACCACCGCAACTGCAGCGTTCATCGATTGTGGGCCAGAGCCCGTGTCTTAACTTTCTTTCTTCATTACCTAAGAACACTGGAAGTCCTCCCCATTTGCAGTGAAATGTCACACTCAAGCCTGACCTTTAAAGGGACGCTGGCACCCTTCAGTCAGAGCCCGGCAGTCTGGCCAGCGCTCGTGGCACTCCTCAGGAGCCCCAAGGCAGCTTCCCTGAGCTCCAGCCCATGTCCTTGCTGCACCCCCACCCCACCCCCGCCACGCTGGGTCCTGATCCTGGGGACTCCGGTGCAGGACCTGGGGCTGTACAGTGGCGGCCGGCCCAGGAGGTGCACAAAACTGTGAGGTTGTCAGATTAATCCCTGGGACTTCAGGTGGGCAGGTGGATCGAGCAAGTGACTCTACCAGCAGTAGGGAAGGACCCTGGGGAAGGCTTCAGTGTGCTTGGGACCCGCATCTAACCCTAATCTGACCCCACAGGGTTTTCTGTCATTAGCTACTCTACTCCTAGGTATATCCCAGGGGTCAGGCTCAGAAAATGAGTGTACAATGGCCAACAGGTCTTCCTTTGATCATCCAAACCTGGAGGCCAAGGAGAAAGGATGATGTCTGATAAGCCAGGAACTTCCTAAAGAACGGCAAATAAAACTTCCTGAACAATGACCCTCCCACCACTCTCCACTGTGGGACTGAAAAGGAAACATGAGGATGCCTAGGACGAGACCCTTTGTACAGCAGTGGCAGACCCATGGTACAAGTGCCACCCGTGGCTATAATCACTGAAGGATCTGAAAGGTTCGCCATCACTGCCAGGCAGACCAGGCAATCTCGTTATCTCCAGGGTCATCTGAACGCAGGGAGTGGAGGCCAGGGCAGGGAGAGCTCTGGCCGAAGGAGCAGGTGCTCTGGAGTTGAGTGCAGCTGAGTCGCAGCTGTGTGCCAAACCAGGTACCCTCAGGCCAATGGCTCCCTGAATTGCTTTGTGGTGAACAGGGCCAGATACATACAAGGCCTGTGGACTACTGAGTTCAATTTGGCCCTGTCATCTTTAAAGAAGAGGTGACAGTGGTGACTTCTGCAAGGTAGAAATGTGAGAACTGTTACTTCCTACTTAGGAACTCTGTGTCATTTCATAGAATGTATCACTTTGCCACTATGTCTGAATTTTTCTTTCTTTCCTTCTTTTTTGTTTTTGTTTTTTGGTACTGGGGATCAAACTCAGGGCCTTCCTCTTGTGAGGCAGGCAGGAACACCACTGAGCTAAATCCCAGGCCCTATGTTCTTTTTTAAATAAGAAAAAAAATGGGCATTCCCAAAGAATGTTTCAGAGGCTCTAACTCAGCAGAAAAACAGAATCACACCCAGGTGCACCTTGGCCCCAGGCTTCAGGGTGTGGTAAACACCTGTTTTGGTCCTCAGGCAATGGACGGCTGTGCTAAGAAAAACACCTGACAATAATCCTCACCGGGTAAGATGGCAGGAAGCAAGCCCTGCTGTTTCCTCTCGGCCTGAGCTTCATCACACACCCTCTGCCCTGAGACCCTGAGACCCTGAGGCTTCTCGGGAGTTCCCATCTGGGACACAGACGCCTGGCTGAGGCCGGCTGGCCTTGGCTGGGGCCACACAGGGACTCACCTGCTGGAAGGTGTGGCGGGGCAGTGGGGCCCATCCGAAAGGGTGTGGGTCGCCAATCTCTCCTGGTCAGCCTGGGCACCATGGGTTGGCTGGCTGGGAGTGACGGGCACTCCCCCCTCCTTCCCAGGAACCATCAGCTGTGGGGTAAATGGAAGGATATGTGAGCCACTGCAGTGCCAGGCGGCAGGGGACCCTAAGGGGCCTGGCTTGGTGATGCCTGCTTCCGGCCTTCCCATGACCAATGCCACCACCAGATGGGCAGGTATCCCCACATCCTTATCCTCTCTGGGACCTGGGTGCTGGCAGACACGCACTGTGACAACTACAGAGGGATGGGGACAGGGAGGGAGAGAAACCCTGGGAGTCATCTTTCCTTCCTCTTAGTCCGGACACTCACACTTCCATCTGGGTCCTAAGAGGGTGGGGGAGGCGGCCGGAGATACCTGGTGAGGGTGTGGAGCATTTAGACCAGCAGGGAACACTACTGGGTAAGCCAGGTCAGCTGATCCAAGGCCCAGGACAGCAGGCAGATAGGAAAGGCGAGAGCTGGAGAGCTGGGTGAGAGAAAAACAAGAGGGGCAGAGGAGAGGCAGGAAAAACACAGGGCCTCTGAGAGGGGGACAGTATCTCAGGAGAGGGAAGGAAGGGATCCGGCCCGGCCCACAGTGAGGGACCATGGGATGAGGTGGGGCCAGGCCTCTGGACCCCCTTGCAGATGGAAACACGCAGACTGTTTGCAGCAGGCGTAGGAGCCCTGGCTCTGAGCCTCTGGAGGCCTCAAATGAACTGCTGGCTGCCCCTTCCCGGGGGGTGCAGCTAATGCTTCCATTCTGAGCCCAGCAGACCTGCAGGCCACAACCCCGGGCAGAACTTGGAGCCAGAGTAGTCAGTTTTTCCAAAGCCATTCTATTTTCTTCTGTCCTTGAGGTCCCTTTGGAACAGAAGGTTGTCCTTACTAATCGCACCCTCCCTCACCCCTGGGTAGGGGTGGGCTCCTATTTATACTGAAAAGAGAAAGGCCAGTCTTAAATTGTTTGTTTGGAAATTCGATATAAATAACTTCATGTATTTTTCAGTAACAGAAGCAGGAGCAAATGCAAATCCCTATTCTGGGCTGCTGGGCCGTGGCTGTGTCCTGTTAAAATCAGGAAACCCTGGAATGATTCTGCAGAACACTTGGGGCTGTTTAACGATACCCTGGACTCCATTCTCACAGGTGAAACAGAAAGAAGCTGTCTCATCAAATCCCCTTCGGCCCATGATGAACTCACTTGATGGGAAAAGGCCAGTCCTGCCATGGGGACCCTCAGAATGTCCGGCACCACAGGAGGAGGGGTCTGAAAATGTGCCTTTGCGACAGTAAACACACACTGTGCACAGACACACACACAGGGAAAACAAGAGAAGAGAAGAGAGAGAAAAGGGCCTTGAGAAAGACATGAAATAACCTCCAGGGGCAGCAGTGAGGCTGGCGGGACAGTGGGACTATGCTTCCCAAGGGACAGCGTGGAGGGTCCCAGAAGTGACATGCACCCCAGGGAGCGCCCCGCACACCCGTCTCCCTAGGAGCAGCTGGGTGAGCAAGCAGGTTCAACTTCGAGAAGCAATGGAGCCGGATCAAGCCTTGTGCGGAAGCAGTGGGAGGGTGGCTGGGACAGGCAAGGAGGGGTGCTGGGCTGGGGCCCGTGATCCACATGGACGGACTCACACAGCACACAGCTTCTCGAGGCCTGCGCTGTTCCAGGGAAGGTGAAGGTGAGCGGGTGTGCAGGGGCATGCGTATGTTGTTAATAGTCCTCAATGGTGTGGGACAATGGAACAGAGGAAAAGCCGGGGCCCTTTCGAAACTCTGTTTTTGTCTTTTTGAGACAGCATTTCATTAGGTAGCCCAGGCTGGTCTCAGACTCACAATCCTCCTGCCTCAGCCTCTCAAGTACTGGGATTATAGGTGTGCATCATCACGGCCAGATCAAAAACCTTATGATTTCAAAGCTACTTATGGGAAAGAGGATTACTTGGGGTCCTGCTGTTCCATCTTTAACTCTTTAAATTTAGCACATCAGGGCCGGGGATATAGCTCAGTGGTTCCACCGCCAGCCTGGCAAGTGCAAGGTCCCCAGTTCAATCCCCGGAACAAAAAAAAAAAAACTTCAGTAGCTGAAACTTGGAAACAGCTCAATTACCCATCAAATGGAGACCGGATAAAGAAGATGTGGGTTTTTTAATAAAATGGAGTACTACTCAGCCATAAAGAATGGGAAACTAGAGACATTTATAGCTAAATGGATGCATATTGAGGTGATACTCTTAAGTGAAATAAATAGGACACACGTGTGTAAATACCGAATAGTTTCTCTAGTGTGAGAACTGAGTGTAAGTAAGAAACAAAATGTATAATTGATATTGTGAAATAGGAAGAAAATGTTTAAAGGAGTAGGGGAAGTGGGAGGGGAAGGGGAAAGAAGGGAAAAGAAAAAAATATGAGAAAAGGAAAAACATGGAAACAAAGTCTTTGTAAATAGGGAAGGGTGGAGGGGGTGAAGGGAGGGCAGGGAGATGGGGAAAAAATAAGAACCAAGTACATGTAAAGGGACAAGATCTCAATGAGGAATGTAACTGTATTGTATACCTAAAATGTACCAATAAAAGGAAAAAAATTAGAAGTGGCTGCTGTAGGTAAAATCTTAGCATGATCTAGTTTCTGTTTGTTTTCGGTTTTATTTTGTTTCATTTTTTTTGAGACAGAGTCTCTTAACGTAGCTCAGACTGTTCTCAAACTAGAGGTGATCCTTCTGCCTGAACCTCCCCAGTGCTAGGATTAACAGGTGTGTGCCACCACACCTGGCTGTCAGTACGTTTTTTAGGGTCTTGCTAAGAGACCAGGCTCGCCTCAAACTTGCAATCCTCTTGCCTCAGTCTTCCAGGCAGGTGGAGTGAGAAGTGTGTACCAACTATTGCTTTTGAAACAGTGTAGAACCATGATTTCAATCTGATACCTCCAAAATAGCCCAGGACGGAAAAGTTTATAATTTTTTTTTTTGCAGGACAGGGGCTTGAACTCAGGACTTTGCACTTGCAAGGCAGGGCAAGTTTATAAATTTCTACAATTAAAAATTACCAATAAAGGGCCGGGGATTTAGCTCAGTGGTTCTGCCGCCTGCCTCGCAAGCGCAAGGACCTGAGTTCGATCCTTGGACCCCAACCCCCCCATAAATAAATAAAAGTTGAAAAAAAATTACCAAAAAAATAAATTAAAAAATTAAAACTTACAACTAAATGACAGAGAGCAAATTAGTTAGTCACACCCACTAAGAAGGCGGAAGGAAAGCACAAAGGATGGTTTACAAAGCAGAACTGGGGCAGGGTTAGAAGAAATCACCAGATCTCCAGTTAAAGCTGCGGAGGACGCTAATGGTGGTGCTGGGCAGGGTGCAGAGGGGGCTGGAGGCAAGGGGTGGGAGCAGCCTGGCGCCCTGAAATTCAGTCAGCAGGAAGAAAGGGCTGTCTGGTGGAGGCGGCCTGGCCATGACACAGGACCATGAGAGGCTTCTTGTGGGGAAGTTGGCCCCACTTCAGGCCCATGTCTCATTGAAACTGGATTTGCCACCAGGGACTGATTAATGGCAAGGCTACTGGTTAGGACGTCAGGATAGAAAGGCGACTGGACAGAGAATATGGACAGGCAAATGCCTGTGTCATTACAAAAACTATATATTGGTTTCTCACTGGCTTTTTTTTGGGCATTGGGGATCAAACCCAGGCCTAAATCTTCAGCCTTGTCTTTTTCATTTTAAGACAGGGTTGTGACAAGTTGCTATGTTGCTCAAACAGGGTAGGAACTTGTGATCCTCCTGCTTCAGCTTCCCAGAGTGCCAGGATTACAGGCATGTGCCACCTTGCCCGGATTCTTACTGGCATTTTTAACTAAATAAGTACTGGCTATTTTGGGGCTCCTTCCCTGATTAGAACCAAATTTGCCACTTACAAAGAGAAGCCTACTGAATTAGCAGGTGTGGATTACAGAATCTCCCTGGTGTCTCAATGCATTTGAAATTCTGTGACTGATTTTCAAGGGAGTCAGGGGGCATCAGCAGGAAGGTAAAGGCTAAATATAATTCGCTGGGTTAAGAATGGTTACGAACTAGAATCACTGCAGTATTATGTGCTGCCTTACACTTCTCTGTCATTAATCACAGCAGCCCCTGAAACAAATCCTCACCACAACCAAAGGGATTGAAGTGTAGCTGAACGTGGGCCCCATTTCACGTGTGCATGCGCCCGTAGTAACCATCACCAGCCCAGAACACACCTCCCTACCTGCGATGGCGGGGAGGTGGAAAATGAAGTGGTGCACACTTCCTGAGAGTCTTCCACCGACGGGTACACTCCGCCAGCATCCTCACCAGCGATCCTAAAGGAGGGCAACAGAAACGGGGAGCTTTCTGGGGGTGGCAGTCCGTTCACAAAATAGACAACGGAAGTTGGGGAAGGGTGGGGGTTGTGTCAGGAACTGTTCCAGGATGAGTTTATAAAGCCAGATGGTGACCCACAAGTCACTTAATAATTTACCCAAGATAGTCCACAGATTACTGGCACTCTTGTAGTCTCCAGTAACTTGTTATACAGAACACCATTACCATCAAGATGCAAATGCCCAGTGTTTTCTGAGACATTCTGTACAACTCAGGCTGTAGTGTACCTAACTGGAAGCAGAGAGAAGGGGAAGCAGCCCCTCTACTTCTGTCCAGGGGGAAAATGGCCACTCTGGCTCCACTTGGATTGGGAGGCGCCATTCACTCCTCACCTGTAGATGCAGGGGTGTCTGGGAGAAGAGCTGGGGTAGGGGCGGTCCACAAAGTGATCGATAATGATACCCATGATAGGAGGGGTCCTCTCAAATTGCCTAGACAACAAGCAAAATGCAGTTTAAGAAGAAGTCAAGTGGGTGGGAAGGATGGCAGACACCTGCAATCCCAGCACGTGGGAGGCTGAGGTAGGAGGATGGCCATGAGTTTGAGGCCAGCCTGAGCTACAAAGTGAGACTCTGTCTTAAAAAAACAAAAACAAAAAGTCAAGTAATTTACATCAGGACAATAGGAAAAATGGCTTAAAGGCATGTCAGGAATTAGCAAGGCCCCACCCTTTGTAGGGTCAAAATTACAAAAGTGAAAGACTGCTTTCAGAAGAGAGCCTCAGGGCACTGAGTTCAAAAAGTATAGATTTGGGGCCAGGGATTTAGCTCAGTGGCACTGAGCCTGCCTCGCAAGCACAAGGTCCTGAATTGGATCCCAGGTAACAAAAAAAGAAAAAAAAGTACAGATTTGGCTCCCAGTGCTCAGCCATTCAGGCACTCAAGAGGCCTCTGGAGCCATGAGCCAAGATGGCCTGGCTACTGCTCGGGCTGACAGCAGACCTTGGCATCATCCACTTAATGATGGTTTTACAGGCATGCAGTATGCAAGAATTGTGGGTGGGCTCATGAAAGCTTCCACCCAGATTTCAGAAGAAGGCTTAGTAGCCCAGACAGTGTGCCCATGAACAGGAAGTGTGTGAAGTTGTGAGAATGAAGCTAAAAGTACAGTGGAGCCCCCCCTAAAAAGCTGGAGAAGCCAGGAATGTGGAACATCTGAGGAAAGGCACAGGGAATGAACAAAGCAGCCCAAGAGAGAGGCCATGAGGGCTACACCCACCAGCAATGCCACAGGGGTGGGGCCACTTCCCAGCCCTCCTTGAAGACCTTGGGAGCCCCTCACTTTACGTGTGCGTGTATTTTTTTGGGGGGGTGGGTACCAGGAATCAATCTCACATCTATTGGTCTTAATTATTGCAATCTCTCAGTGTAAGCCACCAACTCTACATTCCAGACATGCTGACTCTGGGACTCTCAAATTCTCCAATCTCGAAACAATGGCCTCTCTTTTTGTTTTTTGGTACCAGGGATTGAACTCGGGTCCTTGCACTTGCGCAGCAGGCAGTGAAACCACTGAGCTAAATCCCCGACCCTCTCTCTTGAGTTAATTCCTCTGAAGGGGCTGCTTTCAGCACTGGCAAAGCTGTGCTGCAGATGCTTTAAAGCTTTGGAACCCTTGGGAGAGTCATCTTGGATTCTAAGGCTTCTTCTCACCTGGTGGACATGAATGCCAAGTTGATTCTGTAAGCACAAGAAAGAGTGATGGTGCCCACAGGGGTGCCCACTGTCCCAACTCGAACTGTCTGAAAGCCTAGGAGAGAGACATTATTAGCTTTTTACCCAGAGAATGCTGACACTGTCCCTGTCCTGAATCATTCAGCCTGCTGCACACTCTCTGGCATTATTTATTCACTCAGCACCATGGGGCAGCAGCCTCAACTGTGTGTGTATGCATGTGTATGTGAGTGTACATGCACACGTGTTCTTCCCTTTTCAATTTATTCAATACTGACCCAATATGAGCAGAAGAAACAGCACTCATTTCTAGGTAAAACTATGTTCAAAGGGATAAAAAAAAGACCATGGAACTTCTGGCAAAATCTCCTTGGCCCACTTACATGTTATCCTGTATTTTCCTTACTTATCCTACACACACTGAGACTGCAACCACAGATTACTACAGGGCACAGAAGCCCCTCTCTGAAGGTAGCAATGCTCTTTTTTTTTTTGGTACCGGGGATCGAACTTGGGTCCTTGTGCTTGCGAGGCAGCCAGCAGAACCACTGAGCTAAATCCCTGGCCTGGTAGCAATGCTCTTAACATTACAATGTTTTCCCACCTCGATCCAACCCATACCTTCTCCCAAGCCATTCAGCTGAACTTCCCCAAAGTATATCCTGTAGGGAAGGAAGAAAAAGAAATGTTACCTGTTCCTATGATGTGATATAAAAGTATACATATCAGAAAATAAAAATATGTAAATACATTTGACAAATAGACCTGTAACTACTACTGGAAGGTATGAATTGTGGTAAGTGGTCTTCAGTTACGAGGAGCTCTGCCTTCTTGTAAGAAGCCATTCCCAAGTAAGTGTGTTAAGAAAGCAGAAAATCTTGAGTCAGGTGTCATAGTGCACACCTGTAATCCTAACTCTCAAGAGGCTGAGGCAGGAAGACTGCCTTGAGTTCAAGGACAGCCTGAACTATAAAGCAAGATTCTCCTTCCTGCCTCTCTCCCTCCCTCCCTCCCTTCCAGCTGCAGGTCTCTGCCTCAGTCTGGCTCCCAGGCTGCCTCCTCACAGAGCACCTGAAGGCCACGCAGCAGTGTGCAAAGGGATGAACATCCACAATGCTTACCTGTACAGTATGACATATTCATGCCCCTGCTTTCTGGAGAGCCTGTAGGCTGGTGTCACCCTCGTGATAGCAAGAAGGGACTTGAGCAGCAGGGACAGTCTGTTGTACACGGTGTAGGAAACTTTGATTTCTTTGTCACACCTGAGGGGCACATAGACCCTCTTAGCATCTCTTATGAATTACTGCAACTGTGCGTGTTTATGATTTTAAAATGTTCTGAACTAAAGGAACAACTGGAGTTGTCCACAGATTGTTGAAGGAAGCTATAGTTTTACTTTTTTATGCCCCAGACAGAGCAGATGAGCAGGAAAATCCACCCAATGTTTTGATGTACTTTGGAAGTGGTTACCATTCTAAGCAATAAAACTTAAAACCAATAAATACACATTGCAATTATTTATATTAAAGGTGTAGTCATGATTTCAACGTGCAATCATATGAGCTGTCTAACTCTCTAGAGGAAATCTGGAGAAAAGTCTGTTTGGCACTAAAATTCTCTACCATAACCAGGCAATTGCTCTCTAACAAAAAAAAATAGTGCTCACACCACACATACTTATTCCTACTAGCGGTTTGCTTTGCGGAACTGCTATTTTCCTCAATCTTCTATGTATTCTACTTGAAAACTGAAGCTTTGGGCAGGGGGTAAGCTGAACTGGCTTAGAGGAAAGTGGGGCAGGGAGATGACACAGGGAAACCATACTGGATGATTGCCACGCAGAACACAGACAAAACACGCGGTCATGTTACCCAGAACACAAGGCACTGAGTCCGAGAAGAGCTGAGCTCTGGACAAACAACGACTGCTTGTCAGCTCTCCTGGCTGCTCTCGGGGGTGTGCGGGCCCCTGGGGACTGACCTCTCCCTGGAGGTCATCGCCATGCCCAGGCTGGAAGCCAGGGGCAGCGCAGTGAGGCAAAGACCCCTCGTTCTTCAGAGAAGCCAGAATAGCCTCCCTGCCTGGGAAACAAAGTCCTGCACTCACAGGATGGCACCCGCTGCGTCCTTAGCTGCCACCACCCAGAGCTCAAGACAGAAGCACTTACTTTTCATTCATTTCAAGACACCAAATCTCCAGCTCCATGGAATCTCCCTGTAGATGTGACAATTGAAAAACATTTCAGTTTTTCAAAATTATCCTCTCTTTTTATTGTAAAGCACTACACAGTCACTATACAAATATTGGAAGGCATACATAAGTAAAAAGAAAATAAGAACAAATATCAATGTATTTAACCAGCTTTTTAAAAGGTTGGCTCTCACTGTATATACCATTTTTACCACTTCTTTCTTCTTGATAAAAACACCATAGAAAATAAATAAATATATCATAGAGTGTCCCTTCAATTAAAATAAAAGTTCAGCCAAGTCTGGTGGTGCACACCTGTAATCCCAGCACTCTGGGAAGCTGAGGAAAAGGATCACAAGTTTGAGCCCAGCCTCGGCAATATGGTGAGTTAGCAAGATTTGTTTCTCAAAATAAAAATATAAAAAAGGGCCCGGGGAAATATCTCAGTGCAAAGGTCCAGGGTTCATACCCAATGAACACACACACACGCACACGCACACACACACATCCCAAGACAGGCACGGTGGCCCACACCTGTAACCTCACCCACTGGGGAGGCCAAGGCAGGAGAATCATAAGTTCAAGGCCAGCCCTGGTAACAAGACTTTATGTCAAGATTTAAAAAAATAAGTTCTGGGGATATAGCTCCTGGTACAGTGCCCGTGGGTTCAATTCCCAGTTCCTCCCCTCACACCCACACATACATCACACACTTTTACAGCATTTTTTTCCCCTTCCAATTCTATAGGGAATATTTTTAGGTGACATCCATAGTTTAGAAAAGCTTGCTACCTTAATAAGATCCTTCCTTAAGTATTTCTTAGCTGTCTTATATCTCTAACCACTGTTCCCTCTCTCTATGTATGACTCTCAATAGACGTCTCCTCATAGGTAGGAAAGAAAAAGACAAAAGCCAGAATTCTTCAACCTTGTAACATTCCTGTGTGACTTAAGAGAAAGATAGTCCCACACCTTTGGACACAAGGGACCTTTTTATTAATTCGAAGAGCACCATTCTCTTAGGTAAGGGAGGTTAATCTATGAAATTGAGAGCTGACTTTTACTGTAGTGGATCAAATTTATCTATCTACCTTAATACAGACCCTTATCACTCTAGTCATATTTTTTTGTGGTGGGGATTAAAACCAGGGCCTCACATATGCAAGGCAAGTGTTCTGCCACTGAGCTACACCTCCAGACCTTCTTTTTATTTTGAGACAGGGTCTCAATACATTGTCCAAGCTGGTCTTGAACCCTTGTTTTCAAGCAGTCCTACTCTTTAGCTGCTTCAGTAGGGGAAAATACAGAAGCAGCGTGTCTCTTAATTATGCTACACAGCCTCACAATGTATTAGAGGAGACAGATTAACAAGGATGGAACTTGGCTCAATGTGCATCAGGGAGAACAAATATATTTTTTAAAAATTACAGTACAGCTGAGTGTGGTGGCACATCCAGAGGCTGCGAGAGGCTCCGCCTGGCTGGCCCCTTACCTCTGAGGTCTTGAGCGAGATTTCCACACACATGGACCGCCCAATGGCAGGCAGCTGCCCTGCCAGTGCCTTCTTTGCTTCATGGGTGACCTCGGGGATATCTTTGATCGCTAAGTTAAACTAGAAAACAAAAGGGAGCCTGGCATGAGACCCCGTTAAGGAACGTCAGGGGACCATAAAGGAGTCTGTTGGGCAAGGCATGTACTGCTTGGGCTGGCACCAAGACCCCAGATCTCAAGCTGGCAGGGATAAGGGCTCAACAACCAGCTAACAAGGCATGGTGTTTGTCTTCTAAGGACAAAGCTTTCCATCTGTTTCAGCAGAAAGTCAAGACCCAGATATATTCAAAACTAATCTCAGTAAGAAATAAACTAAGTGAATAGATCAGTTAGATATTGTCACATCACAACTTAGTACTACTATAAATCGTGTACTTAGTTACTGAACTTGAGAACGTGACATTATTTTTTATAACAAACACCATAGTATATATACCCCTCAGTTAGCAAAGAGTAGGAATTTTACCCAGTCTGAACCCGTTGGGGATGAAGATGAACGAGTTGAAATCTTTTCACCAAGTCGAGCCTGGACAATCACTTGGACAGTCTGAAAAACAACCACCAAAACGAAAACAATGAAAAGGGTCCAGGGAATGTAGCGGAGTGGTAGAGCGCTTGCCTTGGGTGTGGAGTCCTGCATTTAAGGCCTAGCAGCTCCCCCAAAAGATGAGGTTCCTTACAAAGGTTAAAAACCTACCACTCTAGGGTTAAAATGATGTCAATTAATCATAACTTTAACTCAAGAAAGGGTAAAATTTTTAACAGGAAGAGACAAAATAATCATCTAAAATCCAGCTTTAGTCCTCCACTGAACAAGAAGGGAGCAATAAGCAAAAGGCAGACACTGCAGTGTCAGCTGAAGCCTAGGGAAAGAGGCCGTGAGGGCTGCCATTTTGGTCCCTGTCTTTGTTCCCACCCTGAGGGAACACATTGTGCCAACAACCTGGCAGGAGAGTTTGGCATTTCTACAAACGGCCTTCCACAAAAAACTGTGCACAAGTAGCTGTGGAAAACTGGAAGCTACTTTGTAGTCACATCCTCATCATTCACAGTCTGGTTTACAACAAACAGAAGTGGCCCTTAAAACAGGCAAGCTGCAATCTGTTATATTCCTTTTCCAGGAGGAGCACAGGAGTTACCTCGAACCATTCTCGGCCCAGAACAGACGTATTACCTTGAGGGCAAAAAATTTAATGAACTTGTCCAGGTCCTTTCTGTCCTGGGAATTGAGATCAGTTTCCATTGCCTATAGGAATCTGTAACAGAAAAAAAGCGTGATCTATAATTCAGTAAAAAGAGACTAATAATACATCAAAGCATCTACCTACTAGCTGTTCAACAGTCATGTGGAAGTGGGGCAGAAAAAACTTCCTGTAACTAAAGATACCATGGAGAAAGTATTATGGTACTCTCTCTTGAGGACAATAAATTCCAAAATTCCACACAGAGAGCTATATTTAAAAACCTGAAAAATAGATGAGCACATTTTACCTGATTTTGAAACTTTCAGCTTTAAATATAACTTATCTACTTAAAAGTTTTATTATCTACTATATTTAATACCAAGGACATGTGGTGATGTTCTTTTCCAGGCCTTCTCACTGCATAGCCCAGGCTGGTCTCAAACTCACAGCAATCCTCTTTCCTCAGCCTCCCAAGTAGCTGGGAGCACAGGTGTGCACCACAAGTGACCTTGCACTTTCGAGGCAGGAAGCAGAACCGCTGAGCTAAATCCCCAGCCCTCCCTTCAGTCCTTTTAAGTCTATAAAACCACTCTCCCAGCTGGGCATAGTGGTGCATGCCTGTAATCCCAGCACTTGGGAGGCAGTAGTAGGCGGGCCGCCATGAGTTCAGGGCTAGCCTGGGCTTCATAGGAGTTCTAGGCCAGCCTGGATTACAGAGTGAGACCCTGTCTCAAAAACCACCACCACCACCACCACCACAACAAAACAATACTCTTTTGCTCAGCTCATCAGAACACTCTATTTTCAAGAATGAAGTGTTGTCCAATTATAGCATATAAAATAAAGCTAATTAGGTCCTCTGGCAGGGTTAAATACTTCAAGGTCATTCAAGGAAATTTGGGTAAAAACATTCTACAACTCTCTACAACTCTCATTTACTAACAAAGTAGTGAGTTATTAAATCTTGTTATGAAAAATCAATGTTTCCACAGACATGGAATAATTCAGGGCTTTTTGTTTTGGTTTTTGTCATATTGGGGATTGAACCCAGGGCCTTCACACTGAGCTACATCTCTAGCCCTTTATTTTATATTTTGAGACAGGGTCTCACTAAGTTGCTAAATTGCCCAGGCTGGGCTCAAACTTGCCATTCTCCTGCTTCAGACCCCGAGGGTGCTGGGATTACATAAAGGTGCGCACCACCATGCCTGGCTAGTGTTGGGAGCAATGCTACATAATTCTAGGGATAAATCATTTGGTTAGCCTAGTTCTCTTGCCTACACAGCCCAGCTACAGAATAACTCCAGTTTGGCCTCCGGTCACGACTGAGACTTCAGTGATCCAGTGATGCTGTGATTCTCCAGGACAAGAAACATCCTGGGAGAACAAACATCTGCTCAGTTCCTCATTGTTCTTGGACTGATCAACATCTTGTTTGCCGGAGATGTACTGAACTCTCTGCAAGCCTTCCGTTACATCTTGTTTATCCCAATGTGAACTATTGAACTCTCTGTAAGTCATTTGTTACATTTGTTTCTCCCGATGTACTGAATAAAAGGTGTGGTAAACTGGGGGCTTTGTCTTTGCTGCCCAGAGCAGCACTGATCAGACCCAAAGCTCAGCCTCTTCTCAGTCTCATTTTTCTACCCTTCCTGTAATTCGCCGTGTGCTGCCGTGGCTCGCAGGAGACCAGGACTCACTGCAGAGGTTCTGGTAACGTCCCCTTCCCCTGTCCCCTACAGGCTAGGATCTTCAAATTTCTTCCCTCTTTCCTGATAATATTCTGAACATTTAAATTCACCTCAGATACTTATTACCTTGTTTACATAATTTTTTGCCCCGGAGATATAACCCAAACACAATGTACTCTGGGGCCGGGGATTTAGCTCAGTGGTTTTGATTTAGCTCAGTGGTTTTGCGGCCTGCGTCGTAATCGCAAGGACCTGAGTTCGATCCCCAGTACCAAAAAAAAAAAAAA